AAGAGCAGAGTGCTAGAATCAGGGGTCACAGTTTCTCGATGAAGAGCAGAGTGCTAGAATGAGGGGTCACAGTTTCTCGATGAAGAGCAGAGTGCTAGAATGAGGGGTCACAGTTTCTGGAACAGCAGAGTGCTAGAATGAGGGGTCACAGTTTCTGGAAGAGCAGAGTGCTAGAATGAGGGGTCACAGTTTCTGGAAGAGCAGAGTGCTAGAATGAGGGGTCACAGTTTCTCGTTGAAGAGCAGAGTGCTAGAATCAGGGGTCACAGTTTCTCGATGAAGAGCAGAGTGCTAGAATGAGGGGTCACAGTTTCTGGAAGAGCGGAGTGCTAGAATGAGGGGTCACAGTTTCTCGTTGAAGAGCAGAGTGCTAGAATCAGGGGTCACAGTTTCTCAATGAAGAGCAGAGTGCTAGAATGAGGGGTCACAGTTTCTCGATGAAGGGCGGAGTGCTAGAATGAGGGAGTCACAGTTTCTGGAAGAGCGGAGTGCTAGAATGAGGGGTCACAGTTTCCGGAAGAGCAGAGTGCTAGAATGAGGGGTCACAGTTTCTCGTTGAAGAGCAGAGTGCTAGAATGAGGGGTCACAGTTTCTGGAAGAGCGGAGTGCTAGAATGAGGGGTCACAGTTTCTGGAAGAGCAGAGTGCTAGAATGAGGGGTCACAGTTTCTCGTTGAAGAGCGGAGTGCTAGAATGAGGGGTCACAGTTTCTGGAAGAGCGGAGTGCTAGAATGAGGGGTCACAGTTTCTTGTTGAAGAGCAGAGTGCTAGAATGAGGGGTCACAGTTTCTCGATGAAGGGCAGAGTGCTAGAATGAGGGGGTCACAGTTTCTCGATGAAGAGCAGAGTGCTAGAATGAGGGGTCACAGTTTCTCGTTGAAGAGCAGAGTGCTAGAATCAGGGGTCACAGTTTCTCGATGAAGGGCGGAGTGCTAGAATGAGGGGTCACAGTTTCTGGAAGAGCAGAGTGCTAGAATGAGGGGTCACAGTTTCTGGAAGAGCGGAGTGCTAGAATGAGGGGTCACAGTTTCTGGAAAGGCGGAGTGCTAGAATGAGGGGTCACAGTTTCTGGAAGAGCAGAGTGCTAGAATGAGGGGTCACAGTTTCTCGATGAAGAGCAGAGTGCTAGAATGAGGGGTCACAGTTTCTCAATGAAGAGCAGAGTGCTAGAATGAGGGGTCACAGTTTCTGGAAGAGCATAGTGCTAGAATGAGGGGTCACAGTTTCTGGAAGAGCGGAGTGCTAGAATGAGGGGCCACAGTTTCTGGAACAGCGGAGTGCTAGAATGAGGGGCCACAGTTTCTGGAACAGCGGAGTGCTAGAATGAGGGGTCACAGTTTCTGGAAGAGCAGAGTGCTAGAATGAGGGGTCACAGTTTCTGGAAGAGCGGAGTGCTAGAATGAGGGGTCACAGTTTCTGGAAGGGCGGAGTGCTAGAATGAGGGGTCACAGTTTCTTGAAGAGCAGAGTGCTAGAATGAGGGGTCACAGTTTCTCGATGAAGAGCAGAGTGCTAGAATGAGGGGTCACAGTTTCTCAATGAAGAGCAGAGTGCTAGAATGAGGGGTCACAGTTTCTGGAAGAGCATAGTGCTAGAATGAGGGGTCACAGTTTCTGGAAGAGCGGAGTGCTAGAATGAGGGGCCACAGTTTCTGGAACAGCGGAGTGCTAGAATGAGGGGCCACAGTTTCTGGAACAGCGGAGTGCTAGAATGAGGGGTCACAGTTTCTGGAAGAGCAGAGTGCTAGAATGAGGGGCCACAGTTTCTGGAACAGCAGAGTGCTAGAATGAGGGGCCACAGTTTCTGGAACAGCGGAGTGCTAGAATGAGGGGTCACAGTTTCTGGAAGAGCAGAGTGCTAGAATGAGGGGTCACAGTTTCTTGGACAGCAGAGTGCTAGAATGAGGGGTCACAGTTTCTGGAAGAGCAGAGTGCTAGAATGAGAGGTAACATGTAACGACTATCCAGTTTTAGGATCAACAAAGAAGTCTTTCAGTGAAGTCTTGAGGTTGTCCTTGAAACATTTTTTCTGTTTACCTTAAGAGTGTTTTCCTTTGTGTCTCATCACAGAACATTCTTTTTGGCAGTCCGTGGTCAGGCACGCAGACTATATGACCTGCCAGTGAAGCTGTATTTGTTTTAGAATCGAGTAAATTCTGGAGACTGTCCAGTATGTCGGTGGTCAGGCACGCAGACTATATGACCTGCCAGTGAAGCTTGTTTGTTTTAGAATTGAGTAAATACTGCAGACCATCCTGCTCTGTCAAAGATTCAATGTCTGGGATCCTGTCTTGCCAGTTTATGATCAGTAACTTTCTGAGGCATACTGTGTGGAAATGGTTCGTTTTCTTAGCATGGGAGGTAATGTAATATCCTTTTGCATACAAAGATCATCCTGACCACTACTGCCTGCCAAGACAGCAAGACTTGTTTTTATAAACACAGCCTGTCATTTTAACTCTTTTCAAGATGCTCCAGTTTAAAATATTCAAAAGATTATTTCTGCTTCTTGGACAACCAATTCTACTGAATCTTAGATGTGGTCAGTAGTGTACTTTCTAAGTACTGAATATTTTTAATTTTATTAATTTGAAAAAAAAAACAAGATTGTGTTCTACATAATAAAGCAACAAATTCCTTCTTCTGTAAATAAACCCACAATGGATATATAACCTTGCAACAAACCCAGTCCATGCTATCATTTGCTACCGATTTTTATATGTCGATGTTCTTTCCCCATCCTACTCTATTCTGTATTCTCAAAGTATACACTGACATTGTAACGTCCATTTGTCAGTCAGTCATGTTGTTGTTATTGTTCCTTCAAATCCATCATAAAGCTGATAGATCTGATTTAATTCTCTTCATATTTGTGTGTCCCACATTTTGTGAACATGCAGCAGGTGGTTAGCTATTGTGGAGAGAAAAAACCCACACCATATGAGCTAAAACTCAGTGAAGGTAAGTAAATTCTTCCGTCTTAACACAAACAATTCAAGAGACACACACAAACATGTGTATTATATAAGAAATTTTATTTCTTAATTCAACAAAAGTAAACAGGTTAACTAAACTGAAGAAACACTGTCCTGTCGTCAAGGGCAATCACGGCAATTAATCAACATCGTCACAACAATAACAACAATTCTCTATCGGAATATCAATGGAAAGGCAAATGAATAATTATATGTACACAAGAAACATGGGAAGAAAGATCAAGTACAAAGCTCTTATTTCACGGTTCATCGCTGTAGGAATATTTACAAATATCCCACTTGTTTATTTACAAAACCAAATGTTTAAACACTTTCAGAAAACAATTTGTGTCAAAAAAAAAAAAAAAAAAAATTAAGTAAATAGGGATCACACAATTATTTTTTTTCAATCCGGTCATATAAGTGCTAATTAATACCAATATGCGGAGAATACTTACTGCAGTAGGTGCAGTAGATAAGAGAAACATTTCCTGGAGATTCAAATCTATAAAATAATATCAATAGCAAATGCTGAAATAAATCTGGGCAAAGAGTAATGGTTTCACCACTCCTTCTACTTCCCCCTCTCTGGGCTGCTACCTATAAGTTTGACCTCCCTGAGATTTTAAATTCTTAGCCTGAAAGTCATAGTAAAAAATGAAGGAATGGGACAACTAGATGGATTGGTAGAATCAGAGTAATGTTGGGGAAGAATGGGTAAAAGTTCACCAGACAATGGGGCATTTGGAGCTGAGAATAGCATTTCATGTCAGTAGGAAATAAACAAATGCATGGAGGGGGGGGGGGGGGGAGGAGCAGGAGAGAGAGAGGGAGGCAGGGAGGGAGGGAAGAGAGAGAGGGGTGGAGAGAGAGAGAGAAGGAGGGGAGAGGAGAGAGAGAGGGGAGAGGAGAGAGAGAGGAGAGAGAGAGAGAGAGAGAGAGAGGGGGGGAGAGAGAGAGAGAGAGAGAGAGAGAGAGAGAGAGAGAGAGAGAGAGAGAGAGAGAGAGAGAGAGAGAGAGAGAGAGAGAGAGAGAGAGAGCCTCGTCTTGGATTTAAAGAAGTTAAGAAAAAAACCGCAAATGAGGTCAGGACTAGAATCACTGTAAGAAGGTAATAAAACTAAAAAGAGGTAGGGACTAGAATCACAACTGAACAACAAACATTCATACAAAAATATGTGCAGTCCCTCTGTGGACTCAATACCCTCAGCACAACTATCATACATTTGGGACATTCCTACTGTGAAAGACATATTTCAAAATCAGACAATGAGTTAGTAGAAATTAGTACAGCCAGCTAAGAATGAGTTTCCTGTCCATTTAGATAAGGACTTAAGGAGTTACACCACATAAAATGACTGCAGGAAAAGAATAGGATGTGTTGGGCGGATGGGTGAAAAAAAAAAAGGGGGGGCGGAGTGGGGGGGGGGGGGGGGGGGGGGGGGGGCCTGACATTGTTTTCTATCTGTGTCTAGGAAATCATACCTACAGACACGACATGTATGGAGCTGTTCTATCTGTGTCTAGGAAATCATACCTACAGACACGACATGTATGGAGCTGTTCTACCTGTGTCTAGGAAATCATACCTAGACACGACATGTATGGAGATGTTCTATATGTATGGTGCTAGGCCCATCATTGTAGAGGCCAACTGGTGCTTGATGGGTGTGTGGCCAATATGATCACTTCTAGGCGGGGTCAAACCCGGCAGTTCCAGTTCTGTCAGACAAATGAGTATTTAAACTGCAAGACCATCTGGCCACAAGCATAGCTGAAACTGTGTGGCTTGAAGTCTGTTTGTTCAATCAGCTTTTCTCTCACTGTCAAACATGTGTAGTGTCTACATGTGACATTTGTAATAAGTTGTCCATGTCCTAGCTTTCTTACAAATATTATGACTGTTGTTAGCACGGTGGGATTTAAAAACTACTTGGTGGATTATCTAGACAGACTGGGTTCAGGGGTACACTGGATTATCTAGACAGACTGGGTTCAGGGGCACAATGGATTATCTAGACAGATGGGTTCAGGGGCACAATGGATTATCTAGACAGAGTGGGTTCACATACACATTTTTAAACAAAGAGCCACAAATCTGTCCCAGCCACTTGTCAAAACAAACAGGGATACCTGTGTACATGGCCCAACAAGAAGTACATTTCCATGAAACAAACAGGGATACCTGTGTACATGGCCCAACAAGAAGTACATTTCCATGAAAAAACAAACACATACCTGTGTTCAAGAAGTACATTTCCATGAAACAAACAGGGATACCTGTGTACATGGCCCAACAAGAAATACATTTCCATGAAACAAACAGGGATACCTGTGTACATGGCCCAACAAGAAATACATTTCCATGAAACAAACAGGGATACCTGTGTACATGGCCCAACAAGAAGTAAATTTCCATGAAACAAACTGCATACAAGAAGCTGGGAAAATAGGAGAAACAGCAACATAAATAATTTACTCTGAACTTTTCTCCTTTTACTTAACAGCTGTATGCATTTGTTTACAAATGAACAAGAAATCAGGTCTCTGGCAGTGTGATTAAGCACAAAGTAGGAGCAATGTAAACCAGTTACAAAATGAAACTTCTTAAAGAATGTGTGTGGCCAGGATACTGAAAATGTTAGGTGAATGCAATCAGTCATGCTTGATCTTTCTTGCTGTGTAAATGTAAATAAGGTATTTCATGAAAACTTTAAATACTGTCAAGAAAATATGAGGTACTGTCATGTAATTGTAAGGTACTGTCATGTAATTGTAAGGTACTATCATGTAAAAGTAAGGTACTGTCATGTAATTGTAAGGAACTGTCATGTAATTGTAAGGTACTGTCACAACACAAAAAACTTTTGTCAAAACACAAGTGTTAAGTCAGCTCACCTCCACCACCAACAGTCTACCTGGACTCCGTCAGTGCAGAACAGACGTGACCAGACTCAAACTAAGACTGAACAGTAAGTATAGGGCAGTCTTCAAGGAGACCAGAGTGTTGTATTTCATATCCACCATAACCTGATAGCACAGTGTGAACATAAAGTTAATCCAACTACTAGCAATTATGACTATTTAAAGCTCAGAAAGTTTCAAAGCAAAAGGCCAAAGATGGCAGCAAGAAAGAAAGGATTAAAAAAAATAAAACCACACAAATGTTCCACAGTTAAAGAGATCAAACAAAAAGTGGCCAGTTTTTAAGAATGCTGAGACCAATTGTAAAAGTTTAGAGAAAACATGACAACGCCTGGGTTCATGGGAAAAGAGTCATTTAAACATCAAGTTCTGTCCAGTTAAGGCAATCTGGTGTTAGGTTGTGACCAACCTGCACATGAAGCCATCCTGCCTAAAGATGTGTGAAATCTAATGTCTAATACTTGAGCCTTCATAGCATAATAAACAAGTTAAAGGTTAAAGTCACCCAGAGTGAGCATCAAGACAGTCATATCATTTGCGGTAACAAAAGAAAGGCTGTGTGATGCCAAGTCGAGTCTAGCTACACATGAAAGCTGTGTGATGCCAAACCGAGTCTAGCTACACATGAAGGCTGTGTGATGCCAAACCGAGTCCAGCTACACATGAAGGCTTTTTTCTAGATCTGTTAATCCTGAAGAGTAAACTGGCATTGCCAAGAATATCAAACAGCCCATTGTTTAATGAACAGGTCATGGGTGTTTCACTTCATGAAGGAGACAGGAGAAAGTTGAAACTCGGCGCATTTAAAGCCCTCCATATTTATAATAAACACATGAAGTACATAGATACTGTTTCTCTAGCTTCTCCTGCTATTGTTCACAGCGCAACAAACTATATATTACTAACATTATGGTCCACATTAAGGCCAAAGTCAAGACAATTGTGTTGGAAAGTATATGCTGCAAACAACACATCTTCATGGTAAATGTCTTGTGCAAAAGAACTAGAATCAAGAAAACTGAATGCTGATAGAAATATGGAAAGAAACAAACAATCAAGCCAATATTGTCTATAGGTTGTTCTGTACTGAAGGAGTCAGGTTTGTGCACATTCTCTCAAAAATAAACTAACGATTTCCCAGGCCTGGTTGTGGACGACAATCTCCAGCTCCTGGCTGGTCTGTGCTCCCCCGCAGGTGTGGCCCTTGGGCAGATCCTCAACCTCTTTCCAGCTCATCCACAGTCATCACCTGGATGCCATGGGAGGGCAGAGTGGGCAGGCTGGGTAAGTGAGTCCTGAGTATGTCGGAACTGAACCAGCGCTGGATGCCAGAGGTCAAGTCCACCCTGTGACCTCCATCGCCACCAGGAGTGTGTACAGCAGATGTCGGCTGGAGTGCTCCATCTAGTTCAAACAAACACAACACAATGAGACAGTTTCAACACTAGCTACACATCATTTCTATATTTTATAGTTGAATTACTTTAGCATGATACATTACAGACACCTCATTTCTTAACAACAGTGTAATCCACCAATCATTTATTTCCTACCTTCCCAGCGGAATTTTGGGGCTCCACTTTGAAGGGAAAACAATATACACTGCTCCCCCCCCCCCCCAAATCAAACAAGCATGTTGTAAAAGCTGATCAATTAAGGGTCTGTTTACATTAGAAGTGCTCGACCAAAAGGTTCCGATAACTCAGCCTAGCTGTAAACCTCAACATAACATACCAACCAAATTTTTTTTTTAAATAGTGAAAACAGAAGAAGTTTCCTGTCCTATATTAGACTTGGTCACTAAACAAGCTGCAACAGAAGAAGTTTCCTGTCCTATATTAGACTTGGTCACTAAACAAGCTGCAACAGAAGAAGTTTCCTGTCCTATATTAGACTTGGTCACTAAACAAGCTGCAACAGAAGAAGTTTCCTGTCCTATATTAGACTTGGTCACTAAACAAGCTGCAACAGAAGAAGTTTCCTGTCCTATATTAGACTTGGTCACTAAACAAGCTGCAACAGAAGAAGTTTCCTGTCCTATATTAGACTTGGTCACTAAACAAGCTGCAACAGAAGAAGTTTCCTGTCCTATATTAGACTTGGTCACTAAACAAGCTGCAACAGAAGAAGTTTCCTGTCCTATATTAGACTTGGTCACTAAACAAGCTGCAACAGAAGAAGTTTCCTGTCCTATATTAGACTTGGTCACTAAACAAGCTGCAACAGAAGAAGTTTCCTGTCCTATTGTAATGACTGCACTAGTGTCTACTCCACACTGGATATCTCTGGTGCAGAGTTAACACTGGCTCTGATGTCTAGAGGTTCACAGCACAATCAAAGCAGACATGATCTCTCTTCACGGTCACACGACTTCTAACAACGGTTGACACCAGTGGCACATTTCACGAGTTTATTATCACTGTAGCACAATACACGAATCACAGGAGAATCCACTTACAGCATTCGGACAATCTCGACTTGCTCACGCATTAAAGCTCCAGACATACTTCAGACGATAGACACTGGCATATTCACGGCTGGCTCAACAATCAAACAGTGTAACACAACAGCTGGCCTTCACGATCATTCATTCGTCGCCGATTCAGATCCACATGCTCTCGTCATTCTCCATTCATCTTCACAGCTTCAGATGCACTTCCTTCCAGTCTGGGGCCCAGTCACCGAATGACCGCCTGATTCTCAATCCCCCAGATCTCACCATTCACACGTGACTCACTCTTTCCTGTCGTTTACCATATCTCCGTGAAACCCATGCTTCAGGGACTTCCCCAATTATGCCAATCATCCCCTGACGTTATCCCTATTTATAACATCATTACACCTATATTAGACTTGATCACTAAACAAGCTGCAACAGAAGAAGTTTCCTGTCCTATATTAGACCTGATCACTAAACAAGCTGCAACAGAAGAAGTTTCCTGTCCTAGACTTGGTCACTAAACAAGCTGCAACAGAAGAAGTTTCCTATCCTAGACTTGGTCACTAAACAAGCTGCAACAGAAGAAGTTTCCTGTCCTAGACTTGATCACTAAACAAGCTGCAACAGAAGAAGTTTCCTATCCTAGACTTGGTCACTAAACAAGCTGCAACAGAAGAAGTTTCCTGTCCTAGACTTGATCACTAAACAAGCTGCAACAGAAGAAGTTTCCTATCCTAGACTTGGTCACTAAACAAGCTGCAACAGAACAAGTTTCCTGTCCTATATTAGACCTGATCACTAAACAAGCTGCAACAGAAGAAGTTTCCTGTCCTATATTAGACTTAATCACTAAACAAGCTGCAACAGAAGAAGTTTCCTGTCCTATATTAGACCTGATCACTAAACAAGCTGCAACAGAAGAAGTTTCCTGTCCTATATTAGACTTAATCACTAAACAAGCTGCAACAGAAGAAGTTTCCTGTCCTATATTAGACCTGATCACTAAACAAGCTGCAACAGAACAAGTTTCCTGTCCTATATTAGACTTAATCACTAAACAAGCTGCAACAGAAGAAGTTTCCTGTCCTATATTAGACTTGATCACTAAACAAGCTGCAACAGAAGAGGTTTCCTGTCCTATATTAGACTTGATCACTAAACAAGCTGCAACAGAATAAAATCACAACATGTGAGATGAGATGCCTGAGACGAGACAAACAAGCTGACTAACATATGTGACATGGCAGCGATTGGTTGGCTGGTCAGGACTTTCATCACTGCACTCTGGAAAAGTCCACAGGTGTTCCCATCTTCTTCTCAACAACAGTCACATGACCACCACCCCGGCTCTGTGCTGAATAATCAGATGCGTCTTGTGCCTCTGGTGAAATGTTCATAACTGCACCCCAATGTCCACCTGCACCATGACACTGAATCCTGTTTTCTGTCATGATCTTCTTCAATATAAGCATTCCACATGGCATTAATGACATCCAACAGTCTTATCCAGCCCCGGGCCAGTCATGGTAACAGCCTTGTCTGCCAGGTATGCATACTCATTGCCTGGAACACCCCATGGCCAGAGACATGGCAGTGGTAACACCACATACAAATTACACATAGACGCAGACAATAATAGTCTGTTCATCTCATGGGAATGGGTCCTACACAATTACCACTGTCTGACTGCAAATGTGCAGGAATGGGTTCCAGAGCATGAGGAAGTCCCAGAGGCAGATGGAATGACAACATCACTAGCATCTAGCAATGACATGGGTTGAAATTAGCCAGTGCAAAATTCCTACCATTCTAAAAAGAAGATCTTGTTTTTTTCACAATACACACACATTGGTGTGAGACTGACCACCTCAACCCCCATGTGTAGGTTCCTTGGCCCCATTGTGGTAAAAACTAGAACAGACCCACTGCTCCCCAACAAGCATGTCCTATGAGTAGTCTAATTTGGGGCTTCCTTCGAAGTTAAAGTGCATCTGCCTGCGAGGCTAGGAACTAACAATCTGCTTACAAATAAGTCACATCTGTAATGTGAATGTGCATGCAACACTTAGGAAACCAGTCTACAAATGATGAACATAAAGAAGAAAGACCACCTCATCCAAATCACACAGAACAAAAAGCTGCACAACTCAACCAATCACGGACACGTTTACAAAGAGCTTGGCTTGAGTCGGCTGAGAACTCATCTCCAGCAGTGAATGCATTTAACAATTTCATGACCAATTACAACTCATGGCAGATGGCTTATTTAATTGAGAAAAAAAAAGAACATGGCTATCAGACACTACTGTGAGAGTCACACTGTGGAGAAGATTGGGCCTCACCTTACTGTGAGAGTCACACTGGAGAAGATTGGGCCTCACCTTACTGTGAGAGTCACACTGTGGAGAAGATTGGGCCTCACCTTACTGTGAGAGTCACACTGTGGAGAAGATTGGACCTCACCTTACTGTGAGAGTCACACTGTGGAGAAGATTGGGCCTCACCTTACTGTGAGAGTCACACTGCGGAGAAGATTGGGCCTCACCTTACTGTGAGAGTCACACTGTGGAGAAGATTGGGCCTCACCTTACTGTGAGAGTCACACTGTGGAGAAGATTGGGCCTCACCTTACTGTGTGAGTCATACTGCGGAGAAGATTGGGCCTCACCCTACTGTGAGAGTCACACTGTGGAGAAGATTGGGCCTACCTTACTGTGAAAGTCACACTGTGGAGAAGATTGGGCCTCACCTTACTGTGAGAGTCACACTGCGGAGAAGATTGGGCCTCACCCTACTGTGAGAGTCACACTGTGGAGAAGATTGGGCCTACCTTACTGTGAGAGTCACAATGTGGAGAAGATTGGGCCTACCTTACTGTGAGAGTCACACTGTGGAGAAGATTGGGCCTCACCTTACTGTGAGTCACAATGTGGAGAAGATTGGGCCTCACCTTACTGTGAGAGTCACACTGTGGAGAAGATTGGGCCTACCTTACTGAGAGAGTCACAATGTGGAGAAGATTGGGCCTCACCTTACTGCGAGAGTCACACTGTAGAGAAGATTGGACCTCACCTTACTGTGAGAGTCACACTGGAAAGATTGGGCCTCACCTTACTGTGAGAGTCACACTGCGGAGAAGATTGGGCCTACCTTACTGTGAGAGTCACACTGCGGAGAAGATTGGGCCTCACCTTACTGTGAGAGTTACACTGTGGAGAAGATTGGGCCTCACCTTACTGTGAGAGTCACACTGCGGAGAAGATTGGGCCTCACCCTACTGTGAGAGTCACGCTGTGGAGAAGATTGGGCCTCACCTTACTGTGAGAGTCACAATGTGGAGAAGATTGGGCCTACCTTAGTGTGAGAATCACAATGTGGAGAAGTTTGGGCCTCACCTTACTGTGAGAGTCACAATGTGGAGAAGATTGGGCCTACCTTACTGTGAGAGTCACACTGTGGAGAAGATTGGGCCTACCTTACTGTGAGAGTCACAATGTGGAGAAGATTGGGCCTCACCTTACTGTGAGAGTCACACTGTGGAGAAGAATGGGCCTCACCTTACTGTGAGAGTCACACTGCGGAGAAGATTGGGCCTCACCCTACTGTGAGAGTCACACTGTGGAGAAGATTGGGCCTACCTTACTGTGAGAGTCACAATATGGAGAAGATTGGGCCTACCTTACTGTGAGAGTCACACTGTGGAGAAGATTGGGCCTCACCTTACTGTGAGAGTTACACTGTGGAGAAGACTGGGCCTCACCTTACTGTGAGAGTCACACTGTGGAGAAGATTGGGCCTCACCTTACTGTGAGAGTCACACTGTGGAGAAGATTGGGCCTCACCTTACTGTGAGAGTTAAACTGTGGAGAAGACTGGGCCTCACCCTACTGTGAGAGTCACACTGTGGAGAAGATTGGGCCTCACCCTACTGTGAGAGTTAAACTGTGGAGAAGATTGGGCCTCACCTTACTGTGAGAGTTACACTGTGGAGAAGACTGGGCCTCACCTTACTGTGAGAGTCACACTGCGGAGAAGATTGGGCCTCACCCTACTGTGAGAGTCACACTGTGGAGAAGATTGGGCCTCACCTTACTGTGAGAGTCACACTGTGGAAAAGATTGGGCCTCACCCTATACTATTCCTAAAGACAGCAGTGAGTACACTACAGCCAACCTTCATTGTGCAGACGGCACACAATTAAACAAAAATTATACTCCAGTAAAAGATAAGAGAAGAACCTGCTGATGGAAATACAGAAACAGCAGCGCAACATGATCATGACACTACTAGTGACAACAGAGACACATTCTCACATGACTTCAAAACCAGCCCTCAAACTGACTCACCCAAAGACAACATACACATTCTCACATGACTTCAACACCAGCCCTCAAACTGACTCATCCAAAGACAACAGAGACACATTCTCACACGACTTCGACATCGGCCCTAGAGCTGATCATTCCAGTGACAACAGAGACACATTCTCACATGACTTCAACACTAGCGCTCGAGCTGACTCACCCAAGGACATATTCTCACACGACTTCGACATCGGCCCTAGAGCTGATCATTCCAGTGACAACAGAGACACATTCTCACATGACTTCAACACTAGCGCTCGAGCTGACTCACCCAAAGACATATTCTCACACGACTTCGACATCGGCCCTAGAGCTGATCATTCCAGTGACAACAGAGACACATTCTCACATGACTTCAACACTAGCGCTCAAGCTGACTCACCCAAAGACATATTCTCACACGACTTCGACATCGGCCCTAGAGCTGATCATTCCAGTGACAACAGAGACACATTCTCACATGACTTCAACACTAGCGCTCGAGCTGACTCACCCAAAGACATATTCTCACACGACTTCGACATCGGCCCTAGAGCTGATCATTCCAGTGACAACAGAGACACATTCTCACATGACTTCAACACTAGCTCCCAGTTGCCACAGAAACAAACTCACTTATGTTACCAGCTCCTGCAGGTGAGGCCAATCTCTGAATGGCCACCCGGAGAGCAGCCGTGGACAAGGGTCCTGAAGTCTGGCTGTAGGGGTTCAGCTGGGCGGAGACAGATGGTGCCATCACATGTGGCTGGGGCTGAGGGAGACAGTGCTGCTGGGGATACTGCATGGCCATCATGTGGGAGAAGTGCTGGTTCTGTTGGCAGTTCATGGCATTAGCTGCAGACAGGCAGAAGAAAAACAATTCAATGTATCTGATCCTTAGACCTGGCTGTAAAGATGAGTGATTTGATGTATTCTAGTTTGTATCATTCTTTGTCTCTATCACCTTCTGATAAAGGCTCTCTAGTCGCAAATGTTGACAACATGCACTTATGCCACTGCAGTCTATTTTACAGTTCTCAAAGGATGAACTCAGAATTTAGACAACGGTCCCTTTGGTAAGTGATGTAATGGAAATCTATTAAAAAGCCACAGTAGCAGCCTGACTATCTAGTCTGATACTGAGAGATTTGACTTGAACTACACTGTTCTGTTCCATAATCATACTGCCTTTGGTATAACCAAGAAACCCGAGCATATTTATGTCAAAGCAGCAATGATTCTTTCAGCAATTGGAGAGACAGACCAAGAGATATCATGCTAGATGGTCACATGGAGAAATATCATTGATGGAGTGTACCAGAAACAGAATCCAGATCTGTACAGACAATGACATCTATGCCACCTGACAAGGAACATGACAGTAAAGTCAAGCAAAAGACCTTTTTCATGCTAGTCGCGCATTGGGTATGTGTTGCTAGACTGATATCTCTCTATGCTAACTGACACTCCGTCAGTGATCTAGTCAACATAACACCAGCTCTCTTGACTTTCCAGGACGTGACCTAGAACCCATCTGAGACAGATGTCACCTGGCAACCAAGGAAATTTGTGAAAAACTCCAGCCTGATGTGGATCTGATCCCAAGACCTTTGGGGAGCACACAGGCACTTCAGTAACACCGACTACTCACCTCCAACACAGTGATGCTGCATCACACCACAGCCAACATCTGCAGGCTGTCCGCACATTGGCAGGTGATAGGAAACTGGGAGCGCCACAGCCGGGTCAAGGCACGGAACCAGTGTTCTCGCAGCTTCTGGATGCAGAACCACACCATGGCACTGTGCCTGTTAACAAAAATAAATTGTACAGAATTGTACAAACCACAGACAGAAAGAATCATTTACATTTTTCAAATATGCAGCAGAAATATGGTTCGTTAGGAATATGCAAGAAAAAACCACACCAAACTGGACAGAGAGAAAGGGGGGGACAGAAGAGACAGGGGAAAAGAAGAAAAGAGGTGAAGAAGAGAGAAAGAGAGGATTCTAAAAAAGGCCCTGAGAAAGGGATAATAAAAGGAAACAGGAAATGGGGCATAACAGAGACAGACAGAAGAGGAGTATGGTGAGAAACATGGAATAATAAGATGAAGAATATAAAAGAACTAATTTCCGTTGAAGTCAGAGCGCATATGCCTACCAGGTGATGATCCAAAAATTTGCAGATAAACCAGATCTGTAAAACAGATATGCACACAAAACTAAAGTTCTGGAACAAGATCAAAGTCCAGAAGTAGACGAACAACCAGGACTTTCCACCAGAATTTACAGCTAGGGAATGCAGAGAAAGAAGAAGAATGAGTCACGGAGTGACAGAATAGAAGGGTTGTGTTGCAGACAGGTTTTGGTGAAGGAAAAAACTATGCTTTTCTTAATATTCTACCCCAAACAGGGGAATCCACAGGTCACAGGAAAGTCAAATATTTCAAGGGGTGGTAGATAGGCTGCATGCAAACTTGGGACCTAGGCTGCATGCAGTCATGTGACCCAGGCTGCACTCTCTCGCGGGATGTAGGTAGGTTGGGGTAAGACCCAGTTCTAGATGTTTTGGGGTCGTTAAAAACATCAGAAAGCTGGGAAACCCAGTCTTACCACCCTCTAAAATGTTGGCCTGTTCTGTGACGCCATCTGAGGTAGGATATTAAGAAAGAACTGGAAAAACCACCACTACACAAAAGAGTAACTCCAAGAAGCTCTCCTAGTCAACACACACAAAGTGCTGTCACCAGCACCTACAACTCACCTGCATCTGCTGGTAATGACTGTGCTGTTCCATCACATGCAGGAGGCCCAGATTCTGAGCTACAGGGCCAGAGGCAGCCTCTAAATGATGCTGCACACAACTTCTGCCAGTGATAGCCCGGCCAGTGACCAGCCTATGTCCAGTGTTTAGCTGGACATCAGGTGGTGCTGGGGAAGAGTCTGACACACCTTGAGCCTCAGGAGCAGCTCCAGTGACAGCCCTGCAGCTCTGACTGTCCCCAGAAGTGTGCTCCTGTGTCAGTGGGGAGGGTGCATTCATCTGCTGGGTTTGGTTTTCTTGTGGTAGCTCTTCAGCTGGTGTGGCAAAATAGTGTTTTAATAAATGAAATCAATCTTTTACTGTTAGAATATCTAGATAAAAATCATTTTTAAACCATTCAAGCATTTCCTAAAATGGTTGTGTTTGGTCAAAAGATGCAAATATCACACTCTCTATCTGTAAGCAGTAACATAACATGACAACTGCCCGTATAAAAAAAACCACTGTAGAGATTTCAGAAAGTATTTGTTTACTAATTTCTTCTTTCAAAAGGGAAACAAAGAATTGATTTACTACTAAAACCATGGGTATTACAAGTGTCTTCCATTCTGAGACCAGACAAAGAAATCTCGGGACCTTTGCCTGATAACATCTGATGAGATTACTAAGTCAGGACACCTAGCCAAACAGCGGAGGTGTCCTAAACCTAACCCACGTTTTGCCCTCTGAACCCCACAACAAAGAGGCAGGTAAGCCTGACAAGAAAGCAAGCCCTGACATGGTAGCTCCAGTGAAAAGCACAGGCTCATTTGTCAAGCCATCATGGATGTGGGTAAAAACCAGATGGTCCCACTTAAGAACATGTGATTAGATGGTGGCCTATTAAATCAGAACTGAACCATGTGGCAAAATTCAGTTCAAGTGTCCACCAAGGGAAAAAAAAAAAAATCACAATTTATTGGAAAAGAAAAAAAAGAAAAACAAAAAGTTTGCATATTTGCTATCAAAACCATACTCATTTGAGTAGTGGGGTCAAAAGAGAGAGAGAGAGAGAGAGAGAGCAAGAGAGAGAGAGAGAGAAAAGAGAGAGAGAGCAAAAGAGAGCAAGTGAGAGAATGAGAGAGCAAGAGAGAGAGAGAGAGAGCGAGCGAGAGACTTGCCAAAAAAAAAAAAAAGCTTTGTAAAATAAATGAAACAGACCCAACAATCTGTACACTGCCACACTAAATATCACCTATGTGGAAAATAGCCAGGCTGTTAACGGCCACAATGCAATTATGTCCTTGAATGAACTCCCAAAAAGAAAATTAATACCCAGAAAATGGTTTTAATTTTCAGTGTCTTTTTTCTTTCTTTCAAAAAGCAAAATGAAGAACAATGCAGACGTACCATCAATGCCTGGTCTTCCCCTACTTGACCCTCTCCCTGCTTCAGCAGCCACCTTGCCAGACTGGTCTATCAGCTGGGACAGGTAGCCTGGTTTCTCTGCTAAAGCTGACAGTTTCAGCTGAAATTAAATGAATATTTAAATGTTAGCCCCAAATTGAATCCTATAACAACAAGTTCAGCTGAATAACAACAGTAAAGGAGCCTCTTCCCCCACTTTCAGCTGTACTGGGCAAGTCATATTTCATAGACCAGTGGCACTCAGTGGTCAACATCACGCCGGCCACCTTTACTCCCCAGGGCTTTACCTGGTACACATTTACGGCTGGGTCGACCTGGGAGCCAAGGTCATTTAAACAAGAATAGTCCAGCTCTGTCTGGACCTGAACCCCCAACCTTCAGATCCGTAGACGAGTGTCTAGCTGCTACCCTACATTGGTTCCCAGTTAAATCACAGCAGATCAGCATATCATGTGAAAACTCTATTCCTCATGGCTGCATGTGCTATTGATAGATCAGACATTCAAGGTTCGATCAATCTTATAATGATTAGGGCAACTGCTAATAAATTACAAACATTCATTAATTATTGAATGCATAAAACACATGCACTAAAATGGTACAAAACAACAACGTAAACCTAAAATGGAAAGAACTAGACAGAACCCAGTAACACCAGGCACTTGGAGGGACACTCACACACTGAGAAAGTTAACTGTACTGTTTGTCGGTCAACACTGGTGACAAACATGAAACCCTATGAGTTTGCGAAACTGAAAGCATTCGGCATTCTCTGGGGTATAACTCATCAAGGCTTTTCCAATTTCAAATGGACATGGATGAATGGATCACTCAAGAGCTGAAATCACCAGACATGGCAGCTGACCAAGAGTAGCCGCGCTGAAGGTGCTGGCCGTAACCTGATTAAAATCTGTTAGATTGTTTCCCTTCATGCAAAAGCCCAGACACCATGCTTACTTCCCATTGAATTTCATTTTCTAAACATACAGGTAAGGTAAATCAAAGATACTATGAAGGTGACACAGGTAAATAGGTAGGTAGGTGTAGAGGTAAATATGAAGATGTAGGTAGGTAGGTGTAGAGGTAAATATGAAGATGTAGGTAGGTAGGTGTAGGGGTAAATATGAAGATGTAGGTAGGTAGGTGTAGAGGTAAATATGAAGATGTAGGTAGGTAGGTGTAGGGGTAAATATGAAGATGTAGGTAGGTAGGTGTAGGGGTAAATATGAAGATGTAGGTGTAGGGGTAAATATGAATAGGTAGGTAGGTGTAGGGGTAAATATGAATAGGTAGGTAGGTGTAGGGGTAAATATGAAGATGTAGGTAGGTAGGTGTAGAGGTAAATATGAATAGGTAGGTAGGTGTAGAGGTAAATATGAAGATGTAGGTAGGTAGGTGTAGAGGTAAATATGAAGATGTAGGTAGGTAGGTGTAGAGGTAAATATGAAGATGTAGGTAGGTAGGTGTAGAGGTAAATATGAAGATGTAGGTAGGTAGGTGTAGAGGTAAATATGAAGATGTAGGTAGGTAGGTGTAGGGGTAAATATGAAGATGTAGGTAGGTAGGTGTAGGGGTGTATGAAGATGTAGGTGTAGGGGTAAATATGAATAGGTAGGTAGGTGTAGGGGTAAATATGAATAGGTAGGTAGGTGTAGGGGTAAATATGAAGATGTAGGTAGGTAGGTGTAGGGGTAAATATGAATAGGTAGGTAGGTGTAGGGGTAAATATGAATAGGTAGGTAGGTGTAGGGGTAAATATGAAGATGTAGGTAGGTAGGTGTAGGGGTAAATATGAAGATGTAGGTAGGTAGGTGTAGGGGTAAATATGAAGATGTAGGTAGGTAGGTGTAGAGGTAAATATGAAGATGTAGGTAGGTAGGTGTAGAGGTAAATATGAAGATGTAGGTAGGTAGGTGTAAATATGAAGATGTAGGTAGGTAGGTGTAGGGGTAAATATGAAGATTTAGGTAGGTAGGTGTAGAGGTAAATATGAAGATGTAGGTAGGTAGGTGTAGAGGTAAATATGAAGATGTAGGTAGGTAGGTGTAGGGGTAAATATGAAGATGTCGGTAGGTAGGTGTAGGGGTAAATATGAAGATGTAGGTATCAAGAGGTAAGAATGAATAGGCAGACATGAAGAGGTCAACATCATCAACATGCAAAAATGAAGAAGCTGGCATGAAAAGTTAGGCAATGAGTTATACACAAGCAGGGGCCAACCTTCTCCTCAACAGACATGGGCTGTGACAGAGCACCAGGTAAAACATTCCGCTGACCACAGACTACTTGCTTATCCTGGTGACCATTGACAGTGGTCAGGTTTGAGTTGACTGCATCCAGAAAGCTGACACCGTTGAGGTCTCCTGTTAGCTTGGGCTCTGACTTCTGAGCCAATTCATCACGAGGAACACCATGTTGATCAGCCAGATTTCTCTCAGCAATGCCCTCCATGAGCCCTATTTAACAGAAAGCACAAGAGCAAACTCACAAGAAGATCACAAACATGAATACTCAACAACAACAGAACCAGTTTACAAACCCTGACAGTCATGATCCACTGCCTTTCATCTATGACTGCATATTTATTTCAAATAAAACTGAAACATGCAGAAATGATCAGAACAACAACGGGTTGTCCTTCACCTACAGATGAAGGTCAGTTGGAGTGTGACAACCAAAGACTGTGCCATATATGTCAGATACAAAGGATCATACTTTAATGTAAGCTGACTTCATCTTCTTCTGCGCTGGCCTTCAAGGGTTGTGGTTTCAAGCTAGGCTGCGATATCTGCACCTTTCAGCCAAACACATCCTATTTTAGCATACTGCCAATAAGTCAACTTTTATGATATGCTCATTAAGGGGTCTGTGGATCTACAGAAGATGTGGATATACAGAAGAGGAGATGTGGATATACAGAAGAGGAGATGTGGATATACAGAAGAGGAGATGCGGACATGCAGAAGAGGAGATGTGGATATACAGAAGAGATGTCGATATGCAGAAGAGGAGATGCGGATATACAGAAGAGATGTGGATATACAGAAGAGAAGATGTGGATATAAAGAAGAAGAGATGCGGATATGCAGAAGAGGAGATGTGGATGTACAGAAGAGGAGATGTGGATATACAAAAGAGGAGATGTGGATATGTCAAAGAGGAGATGTGGATATACAGAAGAGGAGATGTGGATATACAAAAGAGGAGATGTAGATATGCAGAAGTGGAGATGTGGACATGCAGAAATGGAAATGTGGATATACAGAAATGGAAATGTGGATATGCAGAAGAGGAGATGTGGATATGCAGAAGTGGATATAAAGAAGAGGAGATGTGGATATACAAAAGAGGAGACGTGGACATAAAGAAAAGGAGATGTGGATATGCAGAAGAGGAGATGTGGATGTACAGAAGAGGAGATGTGGATATGCAGAAGAGAAGATGTGGATATGCAGAAGAGAAGATGTGGATATACAGAAGAGGAGATGTGGATATACAGAAGAGGAGATGTGAATATACAGAAGAGGAGATGTGGACACACAGAAAAGGAGATGTGGATATACAGAAGAACAAGTCATATTTAATGAGGACAGCAACTGACTGACTGAAGGAACTATTGAAAAAGGGTTGGCATGAGTACTGATTGATTGAATGATTGGAAAAGGGTTGGCATAAGAATTGATTGAATAAATGACTGAGAATGGGTTTGCAGGAGTAGTGATTGAATGAATGATTGAAAAAGGGTTGGTTTGAGTACTGACTGAATGAATGATTTAAAAAAAGGGTTGGCATAAGGATTTGCTTTGCATGGTCTCCACGAGTACATTGTGGCAAGCAGGAAGTCCGTGCTACAAGTGACGGCATGAGATACTTGTGGCCGGTAGAGTAAGCGAGGCGAAGCCCGAGCTAGCCTCGGGGTCAGTCGATCATGAGAAGTCAGAGAAGACGGTTGTAGTATTTGAAGATGTCGTCTTTATGTAGGGCAAATGGTTAATGTTCGAATATGTCGCGAGTGATAAAGTGTGAATAATGTTTGAATATGTGAAATAAATGGACCAGAATAAACTGACAGAATGTACAGTGAAGCTGAGCGGCGTTTGTGTTGTCAACCCTAGACGTTGAATAGACCAAGGTTCATTCCAAGTTGAATCAGAATCATTTCAAGATAGTTGAAAGCGTAACTGCAAGTCTACATTTTTGTTCATTTCAAGCTGGCATGAGTAGTGACTGAATGAATGATTGAAAAGGGGTTGGCATATGTATTGACTGAATTAATGAAAAAGGGTTGGCTTGAGTATTTCAACGACACTTCACAGAAAATTAAACCTGCAAAGTCCAGTCAATCATGATAATGTGATTTGGAAGCAAACGTTCAGCTGACAAATCATGGTAAAAAAGGCTGGCATAAGTACTGATTGAATGAATGACTGAAAAAGGATTGGCATAAGTACTGATTGAATGAATGACTGAAAAAGGATTGGCATAAGTACTGATTGAATGAATGACTGAAAAAGGATTGGCATCAGTACTGATTGAATGAATGACTGAAAAAGGATTGGCATAAGTACTGATTGAATGAATGATTAGAATAGGATTGATATGAGTATTGATTTGATGAATGATTGGAACAGGGTTGGCATGAATATTGATCGACTGAATGATTGAACAAGGGTTGGCATGAGTATTGAATGAATGATTGAAAAATGGTTGGCATAAGTATTGATTGAAAAGGGGTTGCAATGGCCATCCACAGAAAATCAGACCTGCAACGTCCAGTCAATCATAATAATGTGAAGTGGAAGCAAACATTCAGTTGATCAAAGGCCCAAAATATTATCTTCACAGATTCAATGGCTGCCCTTCAAGCTCTGGAGGACATTTAACACTACAGAACACTAATTCTGGATGCTGATCAGCTTATTACCTCATACAACATCAAAATAGGGATGCAGTGGATTCCATGCCACTCTGGCACACCAGGTAATGACAGAGCTGACAGATTGGCAAAGAAAGGAGCAACACAAGAACAACCACCTACAGCGACAACCCTACAGACAGCAAAAACACTTATAAGAGCTATAAACAAAGAGACTTGGTTGAACAGATGGGGCATGGGAGATACTGGAAGAGAGGTTTATAGACATATGTCTGGCCCTGATCCCAATGACAGCATTAACCAACTAACAAGAAGGGACCAGGCCACCATCTTCAGACTTAGAACGCAGCATACTCCACTCAATGGACATCTAAACAGAATACAGCCACAACACTCCCCAGAGTGCCAGCTATGTAACTACCCCTACAAAACTGTTGAACACCATCTCTTTGAGTGCCCAAAACTCAGTGAGACAAGAAGAATGCTACTCCCTACGAGACCAGACAAGTGGAACACCTTGTACGGAGGAAAAGAACAGTTTGTGAAAACATGCAAATTCCACTACATGGCATTGGGTCAAAGGGCGAAAGCTCATGCGCCACTGGATCGATAACAACAACAACAACATTGGTCCAAACATGATAATATGACTTAGAAGGAAAGGTTCAGCTGATACATCAGTCCAATCATGATAATATGAACTGGAAGCAAAAGTCTAGATGATACATCAATCCAATCATGATCATGTGAACTGGAAGCAAAAGTTCAGATGATATATCGGTCCAATCATGACAATATGAACCGGAAGCGAAAATTCAACTGCTAAGTCAGGAATATTATTTTTTGGCTTTACTTACCAGTGTCCTCCTTGATTTCTGCCGGAGATTTCCTCTTCTCCGAGACCTTGTCTGAATGCATCTTGCGAAGAACTGAAGTTGGAGTAAAAGCATCTAAGGAGGCACCCTGAAATTTAAACCACTTTCAATCAACACAAGAGTTTTATTCCGACCTAGGAAATACAAGCCATGAATCAAAGGTCAATCAATGATGGAGGGTGCTGGGTAGTTAGTCTGCTAAACCAGGCAGCAACATATTTGTCTCTTTCACCACAAGCAAATAGGTCACTCCCTACAATCATTCACATGTCTTTACGTTCTACCGCTGCATGTTTGTGAAACAGGACTGCACTCAAATATTATCATGAGAATGTTAACCATTTCCACATTATCTTGTCTAAACCCTCTTGTCCTGCAAACACTAAAAAAAATGGGAGTGTCCTCTTGGATGTCCAGAACAAAAATCAATACATTGTTTACAATATATAAATGTATATAAGGTAAGGGAGCAATCAGATAACACAAGGTCTAAATGGAATACATTCGCCAGGGCCTAAACAATATTATCTATCTGGACTTACCCATGCTCAGACTCCAAGGACACTATCCCTGACACTTCTGGGGACACTGTGATATCAACTTGGCTTTAAACAAGCTATCGGCTCAAAGGGAAAACCCCCAAATGCTATTTTGAGTGAATGTATTTAAAGCCCAACTTCCTGGCCCCAATGTTTGCGCAGGTGCAAAAACAGCCAAGAGCATTAATTGTTCATCTCATAAACAGACGACTTGAAAAAAGTTGGAAAGTGACATTGACGGAGAACTAGACTCAATAGAAGTTTAGGTTTTGCACTTCAGGGGAGGGGGGGGGGGGGGGGGGGAATAATTCAGTGGCATAACAAATCCCAGACAGTATGACTTCGGACAGATCTCAGATAGCGCTGTAACTGACAGATCTCAGACAGTGCTGTAACTGACAGATCTCAGACAGCGCTGTAACTGACAAATCTCAGACAGCGCTGTAACTGACAAATCTCAGACAGTGCTGTAACTGACAGATCTCAGATAGCCTTGTAACTGACAGATCTCAGACAGTGCTGTAACTGACAGATCTCAGATAGCACTGTAACTGACAGATCTCAGATAGCCTTGTAACTGACAGATCTCAGATAGTGCTGTAACTGACAGATCTCAGATAGTGCTGTAACTGACAGATCTCAGACAGCGCTGTAACTGACAGATCTCAGACAGCGCTGTAACTGACAAATCTCAGACAGTGCTGTAACTGACAGATCTCAGATAGCCTTGTAACTGACAGATCTCAGACAGTGCTGTAACTGACAGATCTCAGATAGCCTTGTAACTGACAGATCTCAGATAGTGCTGTAACTGACAAATCTCAGATAGTGCTGTAACTGACAGATCTCAGATAGCCTTGTAACTGACAGATCTCAGATAGTGCTGTAACTGACAGATCTCAGATAGCTTTATAACTGAAAAATCTCAGACAGTGCTGTAACTGACAAATCTCAGACAGTGCTGTAACTGACAGATCTCAGACAGTGCTGTAACTGACAGATCTCGGACAGTGCTGTAACTGACAGATCTCTGACAGTGCTGTAATTGACATATCTCAGACAGTGCTGTAACTGACAGATCTCAGACAGTGCTGTAACTGACAGATCTCAGATAGCCTTGTAACTGACAGATCTCAGATAGTGCTGTAACTGACAGATCTCAGATAGTGCTGTAACTGACAGATCTCAGATGGTGCTGTAACTGACAGATCTCAGATAGTGCTGTAACTGACAGATCTCAGATAGCTTTATAACTGACAGATCTCAGATAGCTTTATAACTGAAAAATCTCAGACAGTGCTGTAACTGACAAATCTCAGACAGTGCTGTAACTTACAGATCTCAGATAGTGCTGTAACTGACAGATCTCAGATAGTGCTGTAACTGACAGATCTCAGATAGCGCTGTAACTGACAGATCTCAGATAGCCTTGTAACTGACAGATCTCAGATAGTGCTGTAACTGACAGATCTCAGATAGCTTTATAACTGAAAAATCTCAGACAGTGCTGTAACTGACAAATCTCAGACAGTGCTGTAACTGACAGATCTCAGACAGTGCTGTAACTGACAGATCTCAGATAGTGCTGTAACTGACAGATCTCAGATAGTGCTGTAACTGACAGATCTCAGACAGCCTTGTAACTGACAGATCTCAGATAGCCTTGTAACTGACAGATCTCAGATAGTGCTTAACTGACAGATCTCAGATAGCTTTATAACTGAAAAATCTCAGACAGTGCTGTAACTGAAAAATCTCAGATAGTGCTGTAACTGACAGATCTCAGATAGTGCTGTAACTGACAGATCTCAGATAGTGCTGTAACTGACAGATCTCAGATAGCGCTGTAACTGACAGATCTCAGATAGCGCTGTAACTGACAGATCTCGGATAGCGCTGTAACTGACAGATCTCGGATAGTGCTGTAACTGACAGATCTCAGATAGTGCTGTAACTGACAGATCTCAGATAGTGCTGTAACTGACAGATCTCAGACAGTGCTGTAACTGACAGATCTCAGACAGTGCTGTAACTGACAGATCTCAGATAGTGCTGTAACTGACAGATCTCAGATAGTGCTGTAACTGACAGATCTCAGATAGTGCTGTAACTGACAGATCTCAGATAGTGCTGTAACTGACAGATCTCAGATAGTGCTGTAACTGACAGATCTCAGATAGTGCTGTAACTGACAGATCTCAGACAGTGCTGTAACTGACAGATCTCAGATAGTGCTGTAACTGACAGATCTCAGATGGTGCTGTAACTGACAGATCTCAGATAGTGCTGTAACTGACAGATCTCAGCAATCATCCTTGCCAGCTGAGATTCTGCCACTAATAACAAATACTAGAGAGTCAACCTAGACAAACTAGACACCACTGATCATACAACAGACACAGCTGCTCTTGACAGACAGACACTTTTGTGACAGATCCCAAGTGTAACTGTTCCTAACAGACCACCCAGTATAGAGTAGTAGCATTCAGAAAAATAACAGAACTGTAAGTGTTTACTTCACGCTGGCTTATAACTAACAGAGCCACTATACATGGTAAACCTAGATGACTTGTGGAAACACAGGAATGCAACAACAGTCATAAATCTTGACCTGAAGAGACCCAAGTAAGAAAGCAAATCACAGTGGAGTCTATCAAAGTTAGTGAGATTTTTGAGCCAAAGTGACATAAGTTAAACACTGGATAAATAAACTGATCATTACTTCTGAAGAGCTAACAGTTCTAAAAAAAAATTTAAAAAAAAGACCACTTGATTGGTAAAGAAAACAAAGTAATAATTTCACACACGTAAATGTGAATTTTACATACAAAACACAACAGCCTCCATCATAATTAACCTTACTAATCGTGTCTGCTGTAACTGTCAGACAAAACATTTTTAAAAAAGTATATGTTAGCGTATGTGTTAGATAACATAACACATAGATTATATAAATTATATGCCAGTCAGATATAAGTTGTGTCAGTCAGATATAAATTATATGTCAGCCAGATATAATATTATATGCCAGTCAGATATAAGTTGTGTCAGTCAGATATAAATTATATGTCAGCCAGATATAAATTATATGCCAGTCAGATATAAGTTGTGTCAGTCAGATATAAATTATATGTCAGCCAGATATAAATTATATGTCAGTGATATACACACAACTTGTTTTATAAATGTGACAGTTAACATACACTTGTGATATGTGTGTGAGCAGCTGACAGCGTAATACTAGTTTTAAAAAAATTGTATGTGTGAGGAAATCACACATAATGCAGGCAGTATGTAGTACATAGCACACATATATATATTTTGTATATAAGCTTTTCAAACATATGTATATAACCTGCATGTCAGCAGTCTTAAGATACATGTGTTTCTGCTTCTACGTTAGTAATAGTCAACATATTAGCTTTGTAATTGTGTAAACTGTGATACAGTGACATACCATACACAGTATGTGTAAACTGTGGTAACATAACATATAAAAACCATATACATGACCGGCTGTTAACCCTTTCCCTTCCTAAACACTTAAAAAAAAGGTCATATACCTGGGAAGTAAAGTTACTCCAGATGGAGATTCTGAAGAGGATGTAACATCAAGTATAAACAAAGCAAATCGAGCAATTGCTATGCTTAACAATATAAATGGAAGTTAGAGGTATTTAGTTTGAAGACAAAACTCAGAATATACAAGAGCAACATTTTAGGAATACTATTATACAACAGTGAATATTGGAAAATGACAGTGGGAGTTACATATAAACTTGAGACTTTTCAAAATGTTTAAGGAGAATTGTATGAATATTTTGACCAAACAAGATCATAAATGAAAAACTGAGGAGGAAAACAGAATGTGTATTACTGGCAAATGTTATCAAAGTAAGATGACGGAGATAGCTTAGACATGTTTGCAGAATGCCTTGTGACACTCTGGCAAAAACCGCTTTCGAGTGGACAGCAGATGGGAAAAGGAGATGTGGATGACCTAAGAAACCTGGTTAAGGACAACAGAAAGGGAAATGAAGGAATGTAAAATGACATGGGACACCACAGGCAGAAAAGAAGCAGACTGGCAGCAATGGAGATCACTTGTGAATGCTTTATACGTCAACAGCGACATGAAGAGGATATAGAGAGATAAACAGGTAACTATAAACAAGTAGGAAAAGTGACATTAATGGGAAATGGGCACCAACTGGAAGTATCAGATTTGCAGCTTCTCAGGACAACAGGGTTAAATGAGCTTTATTTGATGATTTCACTTACTTTAGGCTGCGGGGTAGGAGGCAAGACAGGCTGTGCAGACGGAACTGGTCTGACTACAACAATATGATGCTGACTCTGTGACAGCGCCCTGCAAACAAACACACAAGTGCTAACACAGACATGAAAGACTCCACTGGTCAACAGATTGAATGTCTGTAGCACTTAAAAATAAAATACATTGATACCTCGCAATTCAAACATTATCTGTTCCGTGATGAAAATAAAAGAAACTAAATATGTTCCAGTATTGATTTGGACATATCAAACCTAGAAATTTCACATACATGGATACCACTTTCATGCATAGCAATATAATCTTTTTTAATGGCAATTGTTGTTTTAACATATTTTTCAACTGTACACTTTTTTTTAACCAACTACAATTAGTTCACCAAATGTTTCATCGACAGCAAAACTAAAACAAAAACCAATAAGCAAAAATTCATAAAAAAGGTGTGAAGTGACAGACAGAGAAACAACGTGCTTGACACAGAATAAGAAAACAAATCACAGTGTAGGCAGCGCACGGTAGGCATTCGGTTTTCAATGCAGCATTCAAGTTCCGAGGCAGAATTTAGTTAATGATTTCTTTAGATTCCAAGTTGTTAAAATACTGAAGCATTCACATTCTGAGGTAAGACTTTAAAAACTAGGTATCAGGTGGCAAGGGACAATCAGACACTACCATCATCTTGTGGTAGGTTCTGACATCATATTGTGGTAGGTTCTGACATCATGTTGTGGTAGGTCCTTGGCAGCGTGTCACTTCTATCATAGCATGGGCAAAAGGGGGGACCATCTATTGTTAATTCTTCTGCCTATAATGCTTTCTACACCTGCTTTGATCAGCGCCACCTGTGAGGGCTCAAACCAGCAGCAACTGTTGCTGGGGTCATGCACTTAATTAAAAAATCTGGAACATGACCTCCACAAATAGCAACCTCCATTGTGACACTAAGGAAGAACAAGAAGAAATATATCACAGGCAAGAAAAAGAACAACAGAAGAAATATATCACGGGCAAGAAAAGGAAGAACAGAAGAAATATATCACAGGCAAGAAAAGGAAGAACAAGAAGAAATATATCACAGGCAAGAAACGGAAGAACAGAAGAAATATATCACAGGCAAGAAAAGGAAGAGCAGAAGAAATATATCACAGGCAAGAAACGAAAGAACAGAAGAAATATATCACAGGCAAGAAAAGGAAGAGCATAAGAAATATATCACAGGCAAGAAAAGAAAGAACAGAAGAAATATATCACAGGCAAGAAAAGGAAGAACAAGAAGAAATATATCACAGGCAAGAAACGGAAGAACAGAAGAAATATATCACAGGCAAGAAAAGAAAGAACAGAAGAAATATATCACAGGCAAGAAACGGAAGAACAGAAGAAATATATCACAGGCAAGAAAAGAAAGAACAGAAGAAATATATCACAGGCAAGAAACGGAAGAACAAGAAGAAATATATCACAGGCAAGAAAAGAAAGAACAGAAGAAATATATCACAGGCAAGAAAAGAAAGAACAGAAGAAATATATCACAGGCAAGAAAAGGAAGAACAGAAGAAATATATCACAGGCAAAAAAAGGAAGAGCAGAAGAAATATATCACAGGCAAGAAAAGGAAGAACAAGAAGAAATATATCACAGGCAAGAAAAGGAAGAACAAGAAGAAATATATCACAGGCAAGAAAAGAAAGAACAGAAGAAATATATCACAGGCAAGAAAAGACAACTCTTTGGAAATATTCCTAAACCAGCAGACTACTAACTTTTCCAGTTCGAATAGCTGGGGTATTTTTAATGTATGCTAGTTTCTCCATATTTTTATGCCCCTATCTGAGAAGGTTATAGTTCTGATCCCTGACCCACTATCACGTGGGAGAATACCCTTCTAAACAGTGATGTCATGTCCAGTCACCGTCATCAACTGTTGGTGCAGGTGAAACTGATTCCATAAAGTAATGCTAAGAGCCTGTGTGGCTATGGGATGACTAGGTGATGATAGTGAATGACGGACTAGCACAGACGACCGCTGAGAGACTATGCATTCAACAGCCAATGGATGTTTCCAACTAGGACATCGTGACAGATGATGAACACTACAGGATTCATGGAGATTTGACTGACCCAGGAGTGGACGGTGGACTGGACAAAACGGACAGAGCGTAGCGTTTTGGGGGAGTTTGTGCGAGACAGATGATAGTGACCCAAACATGGTGTTTTGACAGCTGGATTTTTTATCTGACACAACATGATTGCTGCTGATGTCTACAACTTGTCTTTATGTTTGCCCTATACGCGGTTGAGATGTGTTGTGATTTACAGCTGGGCTGTGACATCTGCGCATTTTAACACAACACATCTAGTTTCAGCAAATTATTTTGCCTTTCACGGCATGCTTTTATACAGCAGTAGGTCTACCCACCTCCATGAGGCCCCTAAACCCACATGGCTACAAAAGATGCCTGACCTGTTTTGTCCCTGCGGTAGAAAGTGGCTACTCTGTTCCTGCAACTGTCTGTTGATGAAAGCACTCTGTGCGACTGCCTGGTTGTGGGCAGACCACTCCTGGGGGCTCAAAGCACGGGACACAACTGGCACTCTCATCTCAGTGGGCGACTGGCAATAAACGGACAAACTTTTATGTGCAAAGACAAATCACACTATGGTTGATACATACGATACTATTGTTCATTTGGAAAAATCTAAAAAAGTTATTTTGCAAACTCTACTATACCACTGTCAAACAAGGACTCTTACTAGAACTAATGAGTGATAAATTGTAACAATCGGAGTAATAAGAAGAGATAAAATAAGAATGAAATTAGACGAGGACTCTGACTAAAATCAATCTCTTCTTCTTGAAGACATTTAGGAAACTAATCATACAGTGCACTAATGAGCAACAGATGAGATGGTTTGGTCATCCAGTGAGAATGCTTCGGTACCAACTGCCTCAAACAGCCACATCTAAGATTTACAAAGATTATAAACCAAGGGGAAGACCATATGAAATTCAGAATGATGGCATCAAGAACAGCCTTTAAGAAATGATACGCCATTAAACTTATCAGAAAGACAGAGGGGGCACATAGAATACCCCCATCCAGCCACAACAAAAATGATGTAACCAAAGGAAGAGATGAAAAAAACAAAAAACACAGAGGTAACAGCAGCAAACACCAAACACAAATATCAATGGCTTTAAACATGCAACCATCAACCATGAAGTCCATCGCATCTGATCGTTGAAGTTGGGGGAAGCTGATCAGACAGTTACCAGAAACTGGTGACCCAACGACACGCAGTGTTAAAGGATGATGATGATTTCAAGTGGGGTATCTGGTTCCTTGCTCGTTGTTTCCTTCTGAGACAACTGTCTGACTGCTTTGTTTTAGCGACAGTGTCTACTCCAAAGTCATACTGATTTTTTTTTTAAATCTTCTCGCCTCTGCTATGGGCGGTCCGGAACCAGTATTGGTAACCCAGCACACTTAATGTAGTAACAGATATGTGGCCTTTAGGCTCGACACCCTGCAACTCCTACACCATCAGAGCTCCACAAGTTCTAACATTCAAGACTTAATGTAGTAACAGATATGTGGCCTCTAGGCTCGACACCCTGCAACTCCTACAGCATGCCTCTCTTCACAACCCTCCAGTGCCAAGTTAATGGAACATCCCTGCACCCACACAATATCCTTCAACATGAACTGGCACCTCAACACTTACCGATACTGCACTTCTAGAAAGGCTGGCTCCAAAAGTATGAGGTGCTGCAGGACTGGAGCGACAAGGCTGCACAGGTGACAGTGTGCCCAACATTGCAGGAGACATCCGACCAAACACTGGCAGCAAGAAACAAAGATAACAATAATCTCCTAGCAGATGCTGTACAATTGTCCTGCGGCATTCACAGATACAAGATCATAGCATGAGCTGAAGTGACCAGTTTTCAACCACTCCACCCAGAAAAATAAGTCTCAAGATGACCCCCAGCCCACAGAAAGCCAAAAACTACCACCGTGAGAGAAAAGAACAATATCACTGACATTTGCACTGTACTGCCCAACACATCCCTGCATACAGATGTGACATGTTTAGCTAGTCCATGCTTGGCCTAGTTAATAACACTGGTTCTGTTTGCACCTGTGCAGTATTTAGCAGGCCTGGACATGATTATGCTTAAAACAATGTTTCCCCAAAATATGCCTGGCAATCAATTCACATATGCAATTGGTGGGCAATGGATAGTGAGAAGTAACAGTGACATTCATTTTCAGTTTAAATCACCTCAGATCACTGGTATCATGAGGGCTAATATATTGAAATGGCTAGGATATACAGAGAGAGTGGCAGACAAGAGAGAAAACTGCAGACAAATGAGTTGGAGTGGTAGCAGGGCATGAGGCAGACCAAGTGAAAAGACCATATCAAGGCAGATGAACAATCAATGTTACCAAGTGGAAAGAGAAGAGCGATCACAGAGATGAATCAAAGCAGGATATATAATCTCATGGACTTGGAATGATGAAGAAGATATCTTCCATGTTCATTTTCAACACATGCGTCTGTCTTTAAAAACACATCTCAGCTTTCAGTAATACTAATAACAGGTCTGTGGCATTGATTGAGCATATTTAATGTTTGTCTGTGGACCAAAGGGTCACAAATAAATAGGAGTTAACACAATACTGCAAAAAGACATCATCAGGTATGTCAGTAAATCATTTCTCCATCTTCTTCCTGTTCACCGGCTGTAAAGTCTGGCAGAAAGTCCTGGTTGTTTGTCCACTTCTGGGCTTTGGTCTTGTTCTGGGACCTGAGTGTTATGTGTACATCCATTTTACAGATCTAGGTTATTTGTGTGCAGATCGCAGGTTCCTCGCCTCAAGGCAGATGCATTCGACTTCAAAGAAAACACTAGCTGTATTTGGCTAGACCCCTTATAGGGAAGACTGTTTCTAGGGTGAGCACGGAGACGTACCTGATAAGTCCTGACCTGTTGGTGCCTTGATCCCAGGGCCCCACCACATGTGGTTCTTCAGCACCTCTGTATCTCAGTCTACCACTAACACTGAGAGCCTAAGACAATATCTCCAAAGGGTCTTAGTGGCTCAGAACCGAACAATGACTGTTTACTTATATACTTACTCAATGGTGAAGATCCATGAGCTGGGCCAGACCCCAGAGACTGCTGGGGTGCCTGGATGGGGCCCCCAAGGGGTGCCGGTGACACACTGTTCATGATTATCTGAGGGTGCTGCTGGATGAGACTGAGGAGCGGGTCAGCAGATAGGCCTCCAGCTGGAGCTCTTCTCTTGTAGCCAGTCTGTGGCGTTGACATGGCTTGAGGCATCCCGACAGAACATGACTGTTGGTCGATAAGATCTGCAATTAACAAGTCTTAGTCTTAGTTTCAACTTTCCTGCAACTGGGTCTGCCCAGGCAACTAATAAGTGATCGTATTAACACATGTGTCATTCTTCTTATTTTCTCTACTCCTCGAATGTCTCACAGCGTCAGGGCAGAAAGACATCTCTGGAACGGGCCCTTCTGTTCGCTTCATATAAAGTACTTTTCAGTATCGCTGATATTTCCATGGTCCGTCCTCTGCATGGTCGACCTCTAGCTGTTTCCGCTGTATCTGGATAATATTGCTTTCCGTACCGTCCGTTGTCAATCTTGTAACATGGCCAAATCATTTGATCTGTTGTCTAATGATAAAGTTCACTACTAGTTGTGTGCCATCTCTCCTCCTAAGTTGTTCTTTCCTTGTTACACCTAGCAAAATAAGTAAACAGTGTAACTGTGAAAACCAAACCAACAAGGATCATGTCTAACCAACAAGCAAGAACCAGACAACTAAGATGAAAGAGTAATTCTTACAAGAATTGATGAAGCCAAGGCTCCAGCAGTGCACAAGATGATACAGGATAGAATGATGTACATGAGCTGGCTGAGAGCCAAGGCTCCAGCAGTGCACAAGATGATACAGGATAGAATGATGTACATGAGCTGGCTGAGAGCCAAGGCTCCAACAGTGCACAAGATGGTACAGGATAGAACGATGTACATGAGCTGGCTGAGAGCCAAGGCTCCAACAGTGCACAAGATGGTACAGGACAGAATGACTACATGAGCCGGCTGAGAGCCAAGGCTCCAACAGTGCACAAGATGATACAGGATAGAATGATGTACATGAGCTGGCTGAGAGCCAAGGCTTCAACAGTGCACAAGATGATACAGGACAGAATTATGTACATGAGCTGGCTGAGAGCCAAGGCTTCCGCAGTGCACAAGATGGTACAGGATAGAATGATGTACATGAGCTGGCTGAGAGCCAAGGCTCCAGCAGTGCATAAAAGATGGTACAGGATAGAATGATGTACATGAGCTGGCTGAGAGCCAAGGCTCCAACAGTGCACAAGATGGTACAGGACAGAATGACTACATGAGCTGGCTGAGAGCCAAGGCTTCAACAGTGCACAAGATGGTACAGGATAGAATGATGTACATGAGCTGGCTGAGAGCCAAGGCTTCAGCAGTGCAGAAGATGGTACAGGATAGAATGATGTACATGAGCTGGCTGAGAGCCAAGGCTTCAGCAGTGCACAAGATGATACAGGATAGAATGATGTACATGAGCTGGCTGAGAGCCAAGGCTCCAACAGTGCACAAGATGGTACAGGACAGAATGACTACATGAGCTGGCTGAGAGCCAAGGCTCCAACAGTGCACAAGATGGTACAGGACAGAATGACTACATGAGCTGGCTGAGAGCCAAGGCTTCAACAGTGCACAAGATGATACAGGATAGAATGATGTACATGAACTGGCTGAGAGCCAAGGCTCCAGCAGTGCACAAGATGGTACAGGATAGAATGATGTACATGAGCTGGCTGAGAGCCAAGGCTCCAACAGTGCACAAGATGGTACAGGACAGAATGACTACATGAGCTGGCTGAGAGCCAAGGCTTCAACAGTGCACAAGATGGTACAGGGTAGAATGATGTACATGAGCTGGCTGAGAGCCAAGGCTTCAGCAGTGCAGAAGATGGTACAGGATAGAATGATGTACATGAGCTGGCTGAGAGCCAAGGCTCCAGCAGTGCACAAGATGGTACAGGATAGAATGATGTACATGAGCTGGCTGAGAGCCAAGGCTCCAACAGTGCACAAGATGGTACAGGACAGAATGACTACATGAGCTGGCTGAGAGCCAAGGCTTCAACAGTGCACAAGATGGTACAGGATAGAATGATGTACATGAGCTGGCTGAGAGCCAAGGCTTCAGCAGTGCAGAAGATGGTACAGGATAGAATGATGTACATGAGCTGGCTGAGAGCCAAGGCTTCAGCAGTGCACAAGATGATACAGGATAGAATGATGTACATGAGCTGGCTGAGAGCCAAGGCTCCAACAGTGCACAAGATGGTACAGGACAGAATGACTACATGAGCTGGCTGAGAGCCAAGGCTCCAACAGTGCACAAGATGGTACAGGACAGAATGACTACATAAGCTGGCTGAGAGCCAAGGCTTCAACAGTGCACAAGATGATACAGGATAGAATGATGTACATGAGCTGGCTGAGAGCCAAGGCTCCAGCAGTGCACAAGATGGTACAGGATAGAATGATGTACATGAGCTGGCTGAGAGCCAAGGCTCCAACAGTGCACAAGATGGTACAGGACAGAATGACTACATGAGCTGGCTGAGAGCCAAGGCTTCAACAGTGCACAAGATGGTACAGGGTAGAATGATGTACATGAGCTGGCTGAGAGCCAAGGCTTCAGCAGTGCAGAAGATGGTACAGGATAGAATGATGTACATGAGCTGGCTGAGAGCCAAGGCTTCAGCAGTGCACAAGATGATACAGGATAGAATGATGTACATGAGCTGGCTGAGAGCCAAGGCTCCAACAGTGCACAAGATGGTACAGGACAGAATGACTACATGAGCTGGCTGAGAGCCAAGGCTTCAGCAGTGCACAAGATGATACAGGATAGAATGATGTACATGAGCTGGCTGAGAGCCAAGGCTTCAACAGTGCACAAGATGATACAGGACAGAATTATGTACATGAGCTGGCTGAGAGCCAAGGCTTCCGCAGTGCACAAGATGGTACAGGATAGAATGATGTACATGAGCTGGCTGAGAGCCAAGGTTCCAGCAGTGCACAAGATGGTACAGGATAGAATGATGTACATGAGCTGGCTGAGAGCCAAGGCTCCAACAGTGCACAAGATGGTACAGGACAGAATGACTACATGAGCTGGCTGAGAGCCAAGGCTTCAACAGTGCACAAGATGGTACAGGATAGAATGATGTACATGAGCTGGCTGAGAGCCAAGGCTTCAGCAGTGCAGAAGATGGTACAGGATAGAATGATGTACATGAGCTGGCTGAGAGCCAAGGCTTCAGCAGTGCACAAGATGATACAGGATAGAATGATGTACATGAGCTGGCTGAGAGCCAAGGCTCCAACAGTGCACAAGATGGTACAGGACAGAATGACTACATGAGCTGGCTGAGAGCCAAGGCTCCAACAGTGCACAAGATGGTACAGGACAGAATGACTACATGAGCTGGCTGAGAGCCAAGGCTTCAACAGTGCACAAGATGATACAGGATAGAATGATGTACATGAGCTGGCTGAGAGCCAAGGCTCCAGCAGTGCACAAGATGGTACAGGATAGAATGATGTACATGAGTTGGCTGAGAGCCAAGGCTCCAACAGTGCACAAGATGGTACAGGACAGAATGATGTACATGAGCTGGCTGAGAGCCAAGGCTTCAGCAGTGCAGAAGATGGTACAGGATAGAATGATGTACATGAGCTGGCTGAGAGCCAAGGCTTCAGCAGTGCACAAGATGATACAGGATAGAATGATGTACATGAGCTGGCTGAGAGCCAAGGCTCCAACAGTGCACAAGATGGTACAGGACAGAATGACTACATGAGCTGGCTGAGAGCCAAGGCTCCAACAGTGCACAAGATGGTACAGGACAGAATGACTACATGAGCTGGCTGAGAGCCAAGGCTTCAACAGTGCACAAGATGATACAGGATAGAATGATGTACATGAGCTGGCTGAGAACTAAGGCTTTAACAGTGCAGAAGATGGTACAGGATAGAATGATGTACATGAGCTGGCTGAGAGCCAAGGCTCCAGCAGTGCACAAGATGGTACAGGACAGAATGACTACATGAGCTGGCTGAGAGCCAAGGCTTCAACAGTGCACAAGATGGTACAGGGTAGAATGATGTACATGAGCTGGCTGAGAGCCAAGGCTTCAGCAGTGCAGAAGATGGTACAGGATAGAATGATGTACATGAGCTGGCTGAGAGCCAAGGCTTCAGCAGTGCACAAGATGATACAGGATAGAATGATGTACATGAGCTGGCTGAGAGCCAAGGCTCCAACAGTGCACAAGATGGTACAGGACAGAATGACTACATGAGCTGGCTGAGAGCCAAGGCTTCAGCAGTGCACAAGATGATACAGGATAGAATGATGTACATGAGCTGGCTGAGAGCCAAGGCTTCAACAGTGCACAAGATGATACAGGACAGAATTATGTACATGAGCTGGCTGAGAGCCAAGGCTTCCGCAGTGCACAAGATGGTACAGGATAGAATGATGTACATGAGCTGGCTGAGAGCCAAGGTTCCAGCAGTGCACAAGATGGTACAGGATAGAATGATGTACATGAGCTGGCTGAGAGCCAAGGCTCCAACAGTGCACAAGATGGTACAGGACAGAATGACTACATGAGCTGGCTGAGAGCCAAGGCTTCAACAGTGCACAAGATGGTACAGGATAGAATGATGTACATGAGCTGGCTGAGAGCCAAGGCTTCAGCAGTGCAGAAGATGGTACAGGATAGAATGATGTACATGAGCTGGCTGAGAGCCAAGGCTTCAGCAGTGCACAAGATGATACAGGATAGAATGATGTACATGAGCTGGCTGAGAGCCAAGGCTCCAACAGTGCACAAGATGGTACAGGACAGAATGACTACATGAGCTGGCTGAGAGCCAAGGCTCCAACAGTGCACAAGATGGTACAGGACAGAATGACTACATGAGCTGGCTGAGAGCCAAGGCTTCAACAGTGCACAAGATGATACAGGATAGAATGATGTACATGAGCTGGCTGAGAGCCAAGGCTCCAGCAGTGCACAAGATGGTACAGGATAGAATGATGTACATGAGTTGGCTGAGAGCCAAGGCTCCAACAGTGCACAAGATGGTACAGGACAGAATGATGTACATGAGCTGGCTGAGAGCCAAGGCTTCAGCAGTGCAGAAGATGGTACAGGATAGAATGATGTACATGAGCTGGCTGAGAGCCAAGGCTTCAGCAGTGCACAAGATGATACAGGATAGAATGATGTACATGAGCTGGCTGAGAGCCAAGGTTCCAACAGTGCACAAGATGGTACAGGACAGAATGACTACATGAGCTGGCTGAGAGCCAAGGCTCCAACAGTGCACAAGATGGTACAGGACAGAATGACTACATGAGCTGGCTGAGAGCCAAGGCTTCAACAGTGCACAAGATGATACAGGATAGAATGATGTACATGAGCTGGCTGGGAACTAAGGCTTTAACAGTGCAGAAGATGGTACAGGATAGAATGATGTACATGAGCTGGCTGAGAGCCAAGGCTCCAGCAGTGCACAAGATGGTACAGGATAGAATGATGTACATGAGCTGGCTGAGAACTAAGGCTTTAACAGTGCACAAGATGGTACAGGATAGAATGATGTACATGAGCTGGCTGAGAGCCAAGGCTCCAGCAGTGCACAAGATGGTACAGGATAGAATGATGTACATGAGCTGGCTGAGAACTAAGGCTTTAACAGTGCACAAGACGGTACAGGATAGAATGATGTACATGAGCTGGCTGAGAGCCAAGGCTTTAACAGTGCACAAGATGGTACAGGATAGAATGATGTACATGAGCTGGCTGAGAGCCAAGGCTCCAGCAGTGCACAAGATGGTACAGGATAGAATGATGTACATGAGCTGGCTGAGAGCCAAGGCTCCAGCAGTGCACAAGATGGTACAGGATAGAATGATGTACATGAGCTGGCTGAGAGCCAAGGCTTTAACAGTGCACAAGATGGTACAGGATAGAATGATGTACATGAGCTGGCTGAGAGCCAAGGCTTCAGCAGTGCACAAGATGATACAGGATAGAATGATGTACATGAGCTGGCTGAGAGCTAAGGCTTCAACAGTGCAGAAAAAGTTATATTAATTACTGTTATTAATTGGTATCTTTTTCTTAGTACTCAGCAGCTGTAAGATCCAGCAGACAATCCTGGCGGATCATATTCTTCTAGACGTTAGTCTTGTTCTAGGACTTAGTGTTGCATGCACATCCGTTTTTGTAGATCTTGGCTTTTTAGTTATTTACCTCTAATTTCATGAAAACAGTGGTATGTTTTACGGGACTTTTTGTGAATGACCAGGTTCTAGGCCTATTTTTCTCCCATGACTTTCACAGCAAAAGGGTTAAATAAGAAATAAAAGGGAAAACAGAAATACAAGTATCAGCAGCAGCAACAGTGAAAGAAGAAGAAAAAACGTCAGAACTTCATGTGCATACAGAGTCCTTCCTACCTACCAGCAAATGGCCTGGGAGCTGTAAGTCCATCCAGATGCTGTGGATGATACTGCTGGATATTCATGGCTTGAGCTGGCTGGTGGTTCTGGGTTGGCACGGACTGCCCACTGTGTCCCATCTGAGGTGGCAATGACTGCCCATTGTGTCCCATCTGAGGATGGAAGGCTTGCTGGGGTAGGGAAGGCATCCCTGGGTGCTGGCTATGATGCAGAGACTGTTGCAACAGCTGCATTTGCTTTTCTTTGTTTCTCCTTACAGCCTGGGGACATATCAGTTTACACAAAGTTAACCAAGCTTTCACAAGTGACCATTTGCACCAACAGTGAGCTGCAATTCTAGTGGGACTGTATGTGTTGGCACAACTGAAAGGTGCTTTTTGCATTTTTAATTAGCATGTGCAAGCTTCAAGATTTTGCTGGGACTGAGACGTGTTTCACTAGTTTACAAATAGAAAAGTGAAGGACATTTTGTGTGATTTCAACTGGCACAGGAATGAAGCAGTTTTGTGGGCGATCTGTCAGCATCAATGTTGGAAGCTCCACTAATGACTTACACTGTAGATAAGACTAAGGATGGATTCTCCTACCTCCTTTCACCCAATGGAGCACAAATCCCCCACCAACCTATGCTAAGCTCTGTGTAGACCTGTTCAATACTGAATGGACTTTAAAACTGTCAATGAGATCAAGTAGCTAGGCTGATGCCAACTTTCTTTGGTTGCCTTTTATGACATTCATGGTAACTGACAGTGTTGTTATTCTCTGTTTGCCTTACATGCACAACAGTACACAAGTAAAACGTTTACAAATACATGAAACTCTGGCAACGGAAAGTGTATTCAGCAATCAGACATGATGAAAGTCGTGGGTTCATTTCACAAACGTGTTGTTCAGTTCGCGAGTGCAGTTTTGACAGATCCATGGAGATTGTCACTAGAGCAATGGAATCTACTCTCAAGATGGTTGCTAGCCATTCGATAGAGAGAGACTGAGCCCTCCAAAATTAAGCACAGTTTCAAGGGTGTCAATTCTCTCGACATGAACCAGTAACTAACCATATACTCTGTGACAAAGTGTTGATTAACAACTTACCAGATTGAACTCATTATGGCTTGGTACCATCCCAGAGACAGCGTGAGAAGACCATTCCCTCTGTGCCTGCAAATATCAAACATTCACTCAGATTGGCTGGCTGGATTGGTCTGCACTGGCAAACTGCTAAAATATTCTGGCTTGAACTGTAATTTTTTACAAATTCAACATTATTCTTCTTCGTGTTCACCGGCTGTAAACTCACATGGAAAGTTCTGGTTGTTCATCCATCTATGGATTTTGGTCGAGTTCCAGAAGCTGAGTTCTGCATACAAATTTGTTACACAGATCTGGCTTATTTGAATGCAGACTATTGGTTCCTTGTCTCTCACTCAACAAAACCTCCCTAAGTAGTCACCTTGTATGCCTGTAGGGAGGCAGTGGGTCTATTCTTGTGTCCCCCAGACTGGGGTCTCAGAACCCACACAGGGAGTATGTTTGAGACACTGGTGACCATGGTGCCCTTACATGCTTTATAGACAAGTACAGTAATAATGTCACATTCAGCCTCGGCAGCAGTAATCTTTTTATTTGTATTTTATTGTGTGCAACATGCAGGGTAGTTGTAGATTTTTGTCTCCTTAGACCAGAAGACTAGACATTTGATCCTTTTTCTTATATTTGAGTTGGGAACGGGGCTGCATATCATCTGTACTGTGAGAAGACTGGTTATATCATCTGTACTGTGAGAAGACTGGTTATATCATCTGCAATGTATTTCGATGATTCATGACTGGGTTCCCAAAAGTTCAAGCTGGACAGCACAATGGCCATCACATATCTGGACCTCAAGCCTTAGAGACCTTGTGTGTATCTATCAGGTGAATATAGTCTACAACCATAAATGCACATACGTGCGCGCGCACACACACACCACAGGATCGGCACTTACCATGTTTTGATTGGCCTCTGATGCTGCATTCATCATGATCAGCAACTTGCTGAAGGCTGTTATATCACCACTGTCTGATGTACTACTTGGACCGCCTGGCTTGAGACCGCTTGATGGCGGTGAGTCCTGGTGCATATCTGCCTCTAGCTCAGCCAAAGTCTTTGCTCTTTGGTGCACACCTGAAACAGACAATGCTCCTTGCTGTACCAGCCAAGCCACTTGCTTCTTAAACTGGGCACATTATTCAAGCATGTCAACTGGTGACACCTACCAGCTATTATCTGTCTGTCCATAATCTTCTGTTTGATGTACTGCCCATCAATTATGCTGCTGATGTTCGTCCATGTTAAACTAACATCTCTCTTGGTCTCCTCCTCCTGCCTCTCCTTCCCTTCAACTTTCTCACTGTCATGATATACTCCAGATTTCCTCTTATCACGTAGCAAAAGACCACTGCTATAAAAAATGTTCTCATCCTCCTCCTGTAGAACCATATCTCTGAAGGTTCTATGTAATGTCCCACTAATCTGCAGATGTTTTAATTGACTTCTAAGCAACAGAAATGTCTGTGATGAGTCCTGTATATGTAATTAAAAGATACAGAATCAGAAGTGTGATACCATAAAAGAAGTTGGGACAGAACCAGCGCTAAATTACACCAAAAGACAACAAGTCAAATGGTTTGGTCATGAATCAAGACTTAAACCAGACAGTGCACCAAAGAGACCCCTGTCAGACATAAGAGAAGTAGAACCAGAGGCTGACCCCCACAAGCGATGGATAGACGGAATATCCAAGGCTGTAGATAACAGCATCTACATAGAACACACCTAGCAAGAACAGTAGTAGAGAAAAGGAATAAAAAGACAACAGGATTGGCTCTTATAACAGCCTATTAACATCTACAAACCTGGAAGAAGGAAACAGTGTGTGCCAAACACCACAGAAGAAAATCAACTAACTGCTGTCTCCACATCGAGGATTAGCAAGTACCCCTGCTGTCCCTGGAAACATTACATGGTGACGACCCAACCTCTCCCACAGTGTGACTCTCGTATTAAAATGGAGCATTTATGGGTTACTACCCTTGTGCCATAATTCTGAACTGTTGTTTTAAGTGTAAAAAAACCTAACAATAAAAAATAAAAAAGAGGACACACATACCTATTGGTAACCGGGCTGGAGACACACAGCCACTTGATCCTCTGCTGCCACCAAAGAGCATGGCCTTGAGCTGGGTCTCGGCATCTTGTGCACTGAAACTGTTGCTTGAAGCCGCTGATCAGACAGGTTGTACGTTTGCAGTGGGTCACATGTGTGGTGTAAAGTGACAGTTGTTAATATTAACTCATTTTAAGCATAAACACACACACACAATGGTTGTGTATCTTTACAGGATGCTGCACTACCAGCCTCAGCATTTTTTGGCTGATGTGGTTTTTCTAGGAAAATTGTACTTCAGTAGTTTGCTACTGCTTTCTGAATGGTCGGCCCTCGGTAGCACTGTCGAAACCAACGCAAGACAAAACATCCACAGCTGGGATCGAACCGGACTCCCTGGCATTACAAAGCGGGCTCACAACACTTAAGCCACAGACACCTACAACCAACTAATTACAAAATGACAAAGTGACAGTTGTTAATGTAAACAAACTAATTATAAAACAATAATTCAATTTCATATTAAATTTTCAAGGTTACGACACATAATATTGTTGATGGTGTGATTTGTAACGTAGATACAAGTTCAGGATATAAACTGTACAATATGTTTGTTTAATTCTGTCACATTTACAACAAGAATATGTGGCTTTTCACTTCTAGAAAAAAAATTAATTCAGCACTTTAAGAAAGTGAATAAATGAATAATGCTAAAATAAATGATAAAACAAATAGTGACTAAGCAGATATCTGGATGGAAGGCGAGCGGAAGACCAAGAAATAGGAAAAAGTGTTGCTTGATCTTGCAAAATAGATGACTCGGTCGTTTCAAAAGTGAAAGACAAATGCAGAAAACTAGAAAACTGGGTGACAATCCAGTTACTGTGTGACAACAAAAGAAGAAGCAGATAAATTAAGCAATTAATTACGTGACTTGTCAAATAGTGATGAAATAAGTGATTAATCAAGTGGCGATGAACTACGTGATTAGTCAAATGGTGATGGACTATGCGATCAATCAAATGATGTACTCTATGATTAGTTAAATGGTGATGAAAAAAGTGATTAATCAAATGGACATGAACTATGTGATTAATCAAATGGGTGATGAACTAAATGATAAACCACAAGTGAATTTAAAATAATGAATGAAGTGACAATGAATTTAGAAATGGAAACAATAGTTCAAACTTGGAAAGACTGCCCACCAGTGAGTCCCTAGGCTGACTTCAGTCTCGGCTGAGACAGTGTGTTGTGGTTCACAGCTAGGCTGCAACATCTGTGTCTTGTGGTCCAACCCATTTGATTTAAGCAAACACTTAACCAGTCACTTTTTATAACGTCTGTCAGGGAAAAGTGGCTTTTCTTAATTTTCCCCTAAAATGCACTTACATGGAGATGACAGTCTGAAATGGCTACTTAAAATATTTTGGAAAGTACTGACCACAAAATCCATCGAATGCCAATTTCAGAATAGAATGTGAAACTAACTTAAAATAAAAACCTCCCAGTATAAAACGGTTCTTTACTTTGTAAATTAAGTGATGATGAACCAAGTGAGCAGCAAATAAGGAATGACCCAGCTGGGTTAACTCAAGAGAAAATTAACCATACAGCCCCGACTTAGCCCCTCGTGATTTCCACCCTTTTGGTCCAGTGAAAACCCACCTTGGCGGGAGAGATTTCGCGAATGACGCAGAAGCTGAATGTGAAGTGGAAATGTTGTCGAAAACACACAGCATGCAGTTCTATGCAGCAGGTTTAGGAGGACAGAAAAATGATGTGACAAGTATTTCAATGTGGATGGAAATTATACTGACAAATAAAGGGGCAGTGTATGAGTAAATATAAGAATTAACAAGTTGTTATAATCTTTAGTTTTTGTTTTTTAAACAACCATTTGTGACTGACTTATTGCCTTCCCCTCATAAGTAACAGTTAATGAAGTGAAAGTAAAATAAGTGACAGTGAACTGAGTGACCAACGGTTAGATGTCAGTACCCCCGTGTGGGATCCGGGGCCCCATTGTAGGGGAAAACAAGAATAAACCCACTACCTCCCCAAAAGCATGTCGTAAGAGTCGACTAATTGGGGAGCTTCCTTTGAAGTCGGAGTGTATCTGCCGGAGAGGCAAGAAACCAACAGTCTGTATTCAAGAGAATGAGATCTGTAAAACTGATGCACACGCAACACTCAGGTTCTGGAGCAGGACTGCAGTTCAGTAGTGGACGAACAACCAGAACTTTCTGCCAGAATGTACAGCTGGTGAACGCGAAGAAGATGTCAGTAAATGAAGTGAACATGAACTATGCGGTAAAGGGCCGTACCTGAATTTGTGAAGAGACTAGTGTCCGGTGTCTCCAGGCTACCATCCAGGTGCCCATTCCACCTGTAGGAGTTAGGGCCTCCTCTGGCAGCACTGTTAAAAAGTGCAGTCAGCGACGGCAGCATAGGGGGGTGACCATTGTTGTCACCAGCGGAGTCAGGTACAGACAGGTGGGGTTTAGGGAATGTCTGGGGTCCGGTCTGCTGCTCCGACTGTCCGTGGAAGTGAGGCAGGCGATGGTAAGAATGCTGCATGGCTCCCATAGGGCCCATGTTTGGAACAGGTGATGGCACAATACTGTTGCAGCGGCTGCCATCTGAAAGTCCAGAACAAGAATAGATTAATACAAACACTTACTTGACTGATCTTTTATTGAATACTGACATAACTGTTTTCTTTTTCAGTATGGCTAAACAAAATAAGCCTTTGTACTTCCTGCAGTCTCCCCTTTAACAAGTATGTCCTAAAAGCAGACCATTTAAGGGCGCTTCCCTCAAAGTTGAAGTGAATTAGTCTGAGAGAGAGAGGGGGTAGGGGGGGAGGAACCAACATTCTGCACACAAGTAAGCCTGATCTGTAAAATGAATGTGCATACAAAACTCAAGTCCTGGAAAAGGCAAAGTCCAGAAGTGGACAAACAAAACTCGACTATTTATAGCTGGTGAACATTATAGAGAGGGCGTTTGTTTCTCCAAACTGAGACGACTATAGCATTTCAGTCTCATAGTGTCTGTTGTATTACCCACAGGAGCGGATAAACAGTTGGTGCAGCCACTTCTTTTGCTCCGGTATTCAATACTACTACTCTGATAGTGTCTCTAATTTCTTCTTTGGTAGCCACACCGGGGTCTTGATTGTCTCTTGCATCAGTCAGTGTACTGAACAGATATTCAAAGATGGTATGGGCTTCTTTACTGCCTGAGGAAATAGGATTTACTTCACTTCTGGATCATAAAGCATCAGTTTCCTACAAAATTAATGGTGGTGTCAACTATTATGGAGAGTGCAACCTTTTATTATGCCAGTGTTGACTGCTGCTTGCTTCAGTTAAAGAACTGTACAGTAAAGTGACAATGAAAACTGACTATCCTACCTGACAAAAGCACATCATCTAGGGAGGAGGCATCACTCTCCATCAAACTTCCATTAGGCTCCGGGAAAAAGCGAGAAAAGCGGCTGCCATGCCGTACTCCATTCTCATCCTGCAATCAGTAAGTCAAGACAAATCTCTTAAAGGGGGTAGGCATCAATAAAACAATATTCAACAAACAGTTTTGTTACAGTTGACACTGACAACAGCTTATTCTACAGTGGCTAGCGTGTATACATCTGTGATGGGTGAGGAGAACAAGTCCTAAATGGCAGTATTCACAGGCACTGCTAAAGGAACGAGAAAGAAAAGATACTTCAATCACATCAAACAATGTAATCTTAGGATCACTAAATCAGAGAAACAAGTTGATAGGGAAAAAGTAGGAAGGTGCCAAAGATATAGACTGACAGACAACTTCAACATATGACCCAAACACAGAGTCTCCTGAACCTATGGCCAGGTTTTGTTTTGACTAATTGGTCGTACACCAAACAGGTCTGTCAAATTAATTTTTTTCAAAAACATTTTTTTAATTCAAAAAAGTTATAGAAATGTTATATAAAACACAAAATTCAAGCTACAAATCTACAATTATTCTATATAATGTGAAAAATAAATAATATGTACTTCACTGCAAACAAAAAGACAACCTGAAATTACTATTTAAAACATTGGGGGAGGGTAAGGTGGTTGTTAGTGCGGATGATCATAAGTCTAGGAGAAGGTGTCAAGTCCAGAAGAATAGACACCACGGTCTGGATAGAGAACTGCTGCTACTACTGTAACCTTCCCTGCAGAAGTGGCAAAGCCTTACTTTCGCTGTAACATGATGATGATGATACTGCATGATGGACATGACATTTTTCAAACTCACTTACCGAGGGTAAAATGGCACTCAAGACCTCCTCAAAGTCAAACAGTTTGTTGTTGGTTGCTGCCCTCACGTTGTGTTGAGGCATCATGGGGCTTTGATTTTCTTGCTGCTTGTGATTTGGAATGTTCTTTTTGTCTTTCTGCTCTTTCTGCAATGGTCTGGGTTCTCCCAAATGATTTGGTGAGACTTTGTTGCTAATGGGAGAGCTGGCTTCAGATGCTCCTGTAGTGTGACAACAACAAACATCTCAAAACCAGAAAACAAGTTAGTTTCATGGTAGAATGGCTCAGACCTATGGTAAATGGTTAATTCAGAATCGACATCACAGCACATGGAACATTATCATAAGCATCCCATCCCTATCTTCAGCAGCAAAGTGAAAGTTCCAATTCCCAGGGCATCAGTAAGTAAACTGTTGTTGAGGCCCGGCCAGATGCCCTAGTCACTCCTTACAGCACCATTCTCCTCAGACTGTTACAATCTAGTTGTGCCACCCACACTGTTCACTCGTTCCCAAGAAAGACACAACGTCTAATTTGTCAGGCATCAATTTTCAAACAAGTAGTGCAGAACCAGCTGATCTATCTACCTGCTCACTTCCTAAAACACTGGCACAACCTGGAGAAAATATCCAAAAGACAGTAACCACCTATGATGTCTGCCCGTGACTCTACAGCGTAGACTCAGCCTAAACAGGTACCAGGTTAAGGGGGCAGAGGTGATGCTGACCATATCAGCCACAGAGTGTCGACTGGTCTAGAAATGATAGGTCTAGCCCTACATGTCCAGGACAACTAAAGGCGTAGGAAAGGGTGCTTTATTTAGCTTTACTTAACCGTAACAAAGATGATGAATACCTTTTCTTGCCGGGTCTGTGGACTGTGCAGAAAATACAGCATTGGCCCTGTTGTCCTTCCTATGGTTTGGTTTTCTGCCATCCACCATCTGATGCCCATGGTCCTCTTGGTGTTCAAATCCTCTCAACTCTATGACGTCTGTCTGACTTGTGGGCCCACCTGTGTACCATTCAGGCTCTTTCTCTTGTCTGTTGTTTCGTCTTCGTGCTGGTCAAAATATACAGGACAGGAGATTGTATCAAATATGAGAACATGACAAGCCTGTGGAATACAATACTGAGCTTCAAGTATCTCTTGTTTTCCTATTAACTTTCTGCCACTACGCCATCAGAACTGTCCATCTCCTTCATTGTCCTTCTCTCTTAGTCATCTACTACTACTCACTACTGACTTCTTCATAACATCCATCTTTCTTTTTGTTCTTTCTCTCTCTCTCTCAATCTTTCACTGAATTTCTCAACCTTACTCTATCTAACCCCCCTCCATCTCCCCCCCCCCCCCCACCCCAATCCTTCACAGCATTTCTACCTTCCAATCCCTCACTGCCCACCTCCTACCCTGCATCTCTCTCAGAAACTACTTTCCTCATTTACAGCATCTCTCTCCCCACTACTGCCCCCCCCCCCCCCCATTCTATCACCGCACCTCTCACCCTCACTCCTGCCTCCCTCATTGTATCCCTCTACCACACTACATCTCTGTTGCTAAATCTTTCTCTCCCTGATATAAAGAAAGATTTTTCAAATCAATAACATACAGCAACAAGTAACATGTGGAGCCTGAAGGCATTCCAATATTCAAAGCTTGACTTCCTAACAGAGATTGAGTGTATGATACTACTTGTTTTCTGCTTCACCAATGAGTTTATTAATATCTCTAGCTTAAAGCTCATTCTCACAGCCTCCAGTTTGTAATCAGAATAGTATCATGCATCAAATCAAAGCTATGTTCAAGCCTATAAACACTGTCTACATATATGACCAGCGTTTATATTCCAGTGTTACAGCAAACTAGTCAACATGAAATGTCCTAGTCAAACCAAAACTGTCAACATGAAATGTCCTAGTCAAACCAAAACTATCAACAGATGCTGGCACGGGTTCTACAACACCCTCTAAAGGACACACAAATTTATGTTATATTCCAGGGTTACAGTATGTTTATGTTGCTTTTCTTCTTCTGAATGAAGGCGCATGGGAATTCCTAGCAGATCTGGAGGAGTGTGATGGAAAATGTTTAATAGCTGGGGATTGTAATGCTCGGTCAAAAGAGTGGGGAAATCAGACACAAAACAGGCAGGGAGTTGCAATGAGACAGGTCTTACTAAGCACTCTTAACCGTTTTAAACGATGGTCATGTACATATTAGCAGAGACAGCGGGAGACTCGGATGGAGTGATCGACCTAGCTTTAGCATCCAGTACTGATGCACAAACAATGCGTTGGGATGTTCTTCGGGCGCAAGAAAGTGACCATCTGCCATGCATTGTTCTCATCCCAAAGGGACAGACTGTTTAGCAAATGAAACCCAGACACAAGTTCAAATATACGGTCAATAAAGATCAGGTTGGTTCGTTGCGCCAGACAAAAGACCAGAAAAAACAACATTTGTGCAACCACGGTGGTAGAACGAACAGGAGGAGAAGGCATGGAAAGCAAAACTATTGGCTACGAATGAATGGCAGTAAGCACGAGAACTAACACCTACAGATTGTGAAGATATTGAGCAAAAAATCAAGATAAACAAATCCTGAGTCATGCATTGAAAATCTGTGCCAGAGGCCAAGGAACTGATGTCCTACAAATATCACGTGAAGCTGACTGTGATCAAATACAAGCGTGGCAGCGACACACACGGAACAGAGACTATTTGTCTTATTGTGCAACTATTTGGTTGTTTCTGTAATTGATTATGGCCTGCAGAATATTAACCCTATCTACTTCAGTGTTCAAAGCTTGGACGGATAGCCGGACTTGATATGATGTCTTAAATCAGTAATTCTTCACCATAACCAGCTGCAACCTCCGGTGGAAAGCTCTGGTTCTGTTTCCACCTGGAGACTTTAGTCTTGTTTCAGAACCTTAGTGTTGTGTGGAGATCTGTTTTACAGATCTGGCTTACCTTCATGCAGACTGTTGGTTCCTTGCTGCTCAGGCAGATGTACCTCCGATTTCAAATGAAGCTCCCACTTAGTCGACTCTTAGACATGCTTGTTGGGAGGCAGTGGGTCTATCCTTCTTTTCCCCACAGTCAGAGTGTATCTGCCTGATAGGCAAGGAACCAACAGTCAGTATAAAAATAAGGCAGACCTGTAAAACAGATGTGCCTGCAAAGCTCAAATTTTGGAACAATACAAAGTCCAAAAGTTGGCGTACCAGAACTTTTTGCCGGATGTTACAGCCAGTGAATGCTAACAAGAAGAAGAACAAACAAAAACAAACTTTATTCTCAAAGGGTGGCAAATTGGGCACACAGGCCTGTCTTATATTCGGCCTTTCAAAACACTCATCTTTCCCACAGCTATTGCATTTTATATATAAAGCATGGTATGTTAATAAAACAATACACATAATATGAGTATATGAGAACATAACTGAGGTCACACAATCAATACAGTGACTCTTTACAAAGAAAGCCAAATGTAAAATGCAAGTAAAGACAGACAGACAGACACACTAGATGCAGTACACAAGCACTTGCCATCTCATACTCACAGTTTCTATTGAATCCTCTGTCTCCAACCTCCCTGTCCCTCTTCAAGAAAAACAAAAAGAAAATTCAGTGGCAGGTGTTTAAAATAACACAGACAACTCTATTTGATTTGATTTGTAATCTCCCTCTCTGGGGATGTTGCCCGAAAGACTGACCTCCAGTGACTCACACAGCTGATTTCTGCACAACCCGAGTTAGTCACTTTTTACAAGGTGCTTGTTATGGGACAGTGGACCTATTCCATACTCCCCCAACCCATCTCCCCAAACCAGGCTCTGGGACCTACAAAGGGAAGACAGATTGTGTATCATCAATTAGATGTCATTTAATTTTTAATTTTTTTTAATAGCCTTTTGCCCACAGTATGTTCCAATTATTGGCATTTTTGATAACTGGCTAAGCACAAGCTGTTCACTGTTATCAATGAGGTTCTTGTCACGCAACAATAACAAAGAGACAAAATACACATTTTATCAATAAAGTTATTGCAGCACAACAAAAACAAGAGAAATCTTGCACAATTTATCAATCCAGTTCTTGATGCGCAAAAATAACAATGAGACAACTTACACAATTTATCAATAAAATTCTTGGGATGAGACAAAAACAAATCTTGCAAAATTTATCAATCAAATCCTTGTGATGCAATAACAACAAGACATCTTGCACAATTTATCAATCAAATCCTTGTGTTGCAATAACAACAAGACATCTTGCACAATTTATCAATCAAATCCTTGTGATGCAAAGTAACAAAGAGACATCTTGCACAATTTATCAATCAAATCCTTGTGTTGCAATAACAACAAGACATCTTGCACAATTTATCAATCAAATCCTTGTGATGCAAAGTAACAAAGAGACATCTTGCACAATTGATCAGTTAAGTTCTTGTGACGCAACGATAATAAAGTCTCACATTGCGCTAATATAAAAAAGTGTATTTAAAAAAAAAAGGACGACTGGACTTACCCAATCTCTAGCATTGTAGCTTTTATCATCCACATTGTGACAGCTGTCAATGCCTTCTCCTCTCCTCTCCCTGGCCGACTGGTTCCTCAGATCTCTGTCCCGCTTACGCTCCCGCTCCTGGTCTCGGCTCCTGGCAAACTCATCATCTCTACTGTAACTATGGTTGTCCACAGAGTCATGGAGGCTCCTCTCCTTCTCAAACTGTATACGTCCACTGTCCGCCTTCCTCAGAGGTCGCTCCCTGCTGTAGTAGACAGACGTATACACCCTACATAACAACCAATAACAGACCACATTCTCAATGTCTGTCTACAGTTGCCTATACTTAAGGGGGTCAGTAAAACTAAGTGCTGTCTTCATTAACAATTCAACACCTATTGACAAAATTCAGTGACTTGTCAACTGCTGAATTCTGGAATCCCTGATGTGACATCATATTTCAGATGTTTCTGTGGCTGGAAATGTCCAATTAAAAGGTTAGTTATTTGATTGGGTAACAACGTTCAAACAGTTGTACTTTTCTGTAGGAATCAACAGTGGTTGCCACAAGATTCAGACCACCTTGTAAATTAGCAAATTTCTCAGTGTTACATAACATTGCATTCATTACTGGTTTAGGCAATCATTGCGGTTATCTTTCCGTCCTTAGACAGAAGTACTCCATAACTGTGTGTCAATTATTCTTACTGGGTGGTCTTAAACTTTTTGCCATCACTGTGTGTGTGTGTGTGTGTGTGTGTGTGTGTGTGTGTGTGTGTGTGTGTGTGTGATTGCAAAATGTATGCATACGTACAGGGCAGTGTGTGTGTGTATGTGTACCTGTGTACATGAATATCAAAGTGTATGGGAGGCTTTCCAAATTGTGAGTCTGTCCTCTGCGTCCTCTGACTTAACTGTTGTGAAATATTCATGGAAGCCACACCAGTGAGGTTAAACAACTATACAAAATCTGCCCTGCAGTGTCCCTGTCAGACACTGACAATAAGCAGACCAACAGACACACACATTCTGACAGCTGAATTCATTTTTTATTGTTTCATTCTGTTCTCCTGACATAAATGCCACAAACAGAAAAATGAAACTCTTGCAGTTAATGGGTGAAAAACTAGACTCATCAGAGACATTTAAGATTGAAACAGTCAAGAGTTTGTTGGCAGGTTACGAGAAGAAATAAATACTGCAACCTACAGACAACTGGTAAATATGATGGGACAAGGACCAGTGGAAGACACAAATACACAGATGGCTGGCACCATGGCATCAGTGAGACCAGAACAGAACTGATCAAAGATTTTGGTGACTGTGGGAGCCGGTCAATCATAACCACCCCTACCATGGTTGGCCTGACACATGATGATGTGTGTACATACTGTGGGAGCCGGTCAATCATAACCACCCTACCATGTTTGGCCTGACACATGATGATGTGTGTTCATACTGTGGGACAGTATACAGTACAGATCATTTGTTTCTGTTTTAAATGATAATCATTGAATATGCCTAAAAACAACAGCAATCAGTACTGACACCCTTAAGTAATGCAGACAAATGTGATACTTCTAAACACTATTTAAGTGAAGTTACATGCAGACAAATGTGATACTTCAGAACACTATTTAAGTGAAGTTACATGCAAAAAAATGTGATACTTCTAAACACTAAGTGAAATTACACGCAGACAAATGTGATACTTCTAAACACTATCTAAGTGAAGTTACATGCAGACAAATGTGATACTCCTAAACACTATTTAAGTGAAATTACATGCAGACAAATGTGATACTTCTAAACACTATCTAAGTGAAATTACATGCAGACAAATGTGATACTTCTAAACACTATCTAAGTGAAGTTACATGCAGACAAATGTGATACTTCTAAACACTAAGTGAAGTTACATGCAGACAAATGTGATACTTCTAAACACTAAGTGAAGTTACATGCAGACAAATGTGATACTTCTAAACACTATCTAAGTGAAGTTCATCTCATGGCAGCACAGAGCATGGAGCCTATTAATCCTGTGGGCTATTAATCTGTGAGCTGCTGGGGTCGTGATACAACATAACATAATCTGTGAGCTGCTAGGGTCGTGATACAACATAACATAATCTGTGAGCTGCTAGGGTCGTGATACAACATAACATAATCTGTGAGCTGCTAGGGTGGTGATACAACATAACATAATCCAGGTTCAATCCCCAGCACAAATGGCCTGTTGTTGGACAAAGCCTTACTTCAGGCTCCCCTGCTGGCCCGTATTGAACCCACATCAAAAACTGGATAACTGACCTGACCTGGGTTTCCAGGTGATGGGGCTAGCACTATATGCTAGAACGGCATGACCACAGCCACTTTCAGGTATGGGCTGCTGGGCACTTGCTCAGGGGCCCCATGCTTACCTGTGTATGTCAAGTGACCAGCACACCAATCTGCCCATATTGCTCTGGGTATGACTAGTGACAACAGTGTGATGACAATACTGATGGTGGTGACTGAAATGTTGACCATATGGTGGTGACTAAAATGTTGACCATTTGGTGGTGACTGAAATGTTGGCCATATGGTGGTGACTGAAATGTTGGCCATATGGTGGTGACTGAAATGTTGACCATATGGTGGTGACTGAAATGTTGACCATATGGTGGTGACTGAAATGTTGGCCATATGGTGGTGACTGAAATGTTGACCATATGGTGGTGACTGAAATGTTGACCATATGGTGGTGACTGAAATGTTGACCATATGGTGGTGACTGAAATGTTGACCATATGGTGGTGACTGAAATGTTGGCCATATGGTGGTGACTGAAATGTTGGCCATATGGTGGTGACTGAAATGTTGGCCATATGGTGGTGACTGAAATGTTGGCCATATGGTGGTGACTGAAATGTTGACCATATGGTGGTGACTGAAATGTTGACCATATGGTGGTGACTGAAATGTTGACCATATGGTGGTGACTGAAATGTTGACCATATGGTGGTGACTGAAATGTTGACCATATGGTGGTGACTGAAATGTTGACCATATGGTGGTGACTGAAATGTTGACCATATGGTGGTGACTGAAATGTTGACCATATGGTGGTGACTGAAATGTTGGCCATATGGTGGTGACTGAAATGTTGGCCATATGGTGGTGACTGAAATGTTGACCATTTGGTGGTGACTGAAATGTTAACCATACGGTGGTGGTGATGACGATGATGTGTTGACATCACTGTCAATGGCAACAATAATGATAAAAGCATTTGTACTAGATAATCCGTTAATCACACCATTATGCCTATCATAAACTTGAGTTAGTCGACAGATTATCCTCACTGCACATTCAACCATTCATCCCATAAGTGCTGGGATCCCTCTCAGTAAATCCCCCAGAGGTAACAGCTGACAACACCAGCCCATAAGTGCTGGGATCCCTCTCAGTAAATCCCCCAGAGGTAACAGCAGACAACACCAGCCCATAAGTGCTGGGATCCCTCTCAGTAAATCCCTCAGCAATAGCAGCAGACAACACTAGCCCATAAGTGCTGGGATCCCTCTCAGAAAATCCCTCAGCAATAGCAGCAGACAACACCAGTCCATAAGTGCTGGGATCCCTCTCAGTAAATCCCCTAGAGGTAACAGCAGACAACACCAGCCCATAAGTGCTGGGATCCCTCTCAGTAAATCCCTCAGCAATAGCAGCAGACAACACCAGCCCATAAGTGCTGGGATCCCTCTCAGAAAATCCCCCAGAGGTAACAGCAGACAACACCAGCCCATAAGTGCTGGGATCCCTCTCAGTAAATCCCTCAGCAATAGCAGCAGACAACACCAGCCCATAAGTGCTGGGATCCCTCTCAGTAAATCCCTCAGCAATAGCAGCAGACAACACCAGCCCATAAGTGCTGGGATCCCTCTCAGTAAATCCCCCAGAGGTAACAGCAGACAACACCAGCCCATAAGTGCTGGGATCCCTCTCAGTAAATCCCTCAGCAATAGCAGCAGACAACACCAGCCCATAAGTGCTGGGATCCCTCTCAGAAAATCCCCCAGAGGTAACAGCAGACAAAACCAGCCCATAAGTGCTGAGATCCATCAGTAAATCCCTCAGCAATAGCAGCTGACAACACCAGCCCATAAGCGCTGGGATCCCTCTCAGAAAATCTCTCAGAGATAACAGCTGACAACACCAGCCCATAAGTGCTGGGATCCCTCTCAGAAAATCTCTCAGAGATAACAGCTGACAACACCAGCCCATAAGCGCTGGGATCCCTCTCAGAAAATCTCTCAGAGATAACAGCTGACAACACCAGCCCATAAGCGCTGGGATCCCTCTCAGAAAATCTCTCAGAGATAACAGCTGACAACACCAGCCCATAAGCGCTGGGATCCCTCTCAGAAAAATCCCCAGAGATAACAGACAACACCAGCCCATAAGTGCTGGGATCCCCCTCAGAAAATCTCTCTGACAGACAACACCAGCCCATAAGTGCTGGGATCCTCTCTCAGAAAACAACACCAGCCCATAAGTGCTGGGATCCCCCCAGAGATAACAGCTGACAACACCAGCCCATAAGTGCTGGGATCCCAGAAAATCTCTCAGAGAAAATCAGCCCCCCAGAGAGATAACAGCTGACAACACCAGCCCATAAGTGCTGGGATCCCTCTCAGAAAAATCCCCCAGCAGAGAACACCACCCATAAGCTGGGATCCCCCTCAACAGATAACAGCTGACAACACCAGCCCATAAGTGCTGGGATCCCTCTCAGAAAATCCCCCAGAGATAACAGCTGACAACACCAGCCCATAAGTGCTGGGATCCCTCTCAGAAAATCCCCCAGAGATAACAGCTGACAACACCAGCCCATAAGTGCTGGGATCCCTCTCAGAAAATCCCCCAGAGATAACAGCTGACAACACCAGCCCATAAGTGCTGGGATCCCTCTCAGAAAATCCCCCAGAGATAACAGCTGACAACACTAGTCCTATACTGGTTTCCTATTCTTCTTTGGCTCCCTGTACAGTGCTCTTATCTGGCCATTTAACACACTGTTCTTGCAGTCTGTTCATGGTTACAGATTTGCTGTCCTCACTTGATTCTTGTGGATGTCTTACGTCTTGTAGAGCATTCAATAGCCTGGTCCGTCTGCCTTCCAAAGTAGCTTTACCAGCCAGCCTTTCAGCTTGCTTATTTTCTGACATGCCTACATGCCCTGGCACAAATATGAAACTGATATGTGTCAGCCCTGACCACCTCAGTGGCTCTAACCACCGTCTTCGGACCCAGCCAACCTCTACATTCCTGAGCATATTCATGAGCCACTGAAAAAGCAGGCGCAGGTAAAGGTTTGTGTCTCCAGCCATGTTATTAATTAGGTTGCAGAGCTATGGAACATACTGCCTGTTTGTGTGCCATGGTATCAGGGCTGGAAGACACGTCTCTATACCAACTTAATTCTTCTTCTTCTGTGCTCACCCTTAAAACAGTTGGCACATTGGGGTTCACAGCTAGGTTGCAATATGTGTAACTTTTGGTTCAGCACCCCAATGCCTTAATTAGTCACCTCATTCAGTTAGATGCAAGCTCTGTTTCAGGGTTCAAAGGACATGAATGGCAATGCAGCTTGAGACCTGAAAATTAAGTCTTACAAAGTATATTCTTGAATTCGCATCGAGTTGGATTTTTTTCTCCCAACCGACCTTGGTGCCTAGGCTGAACCAGCCCAAAATGGGTACTAGGTAATGTTCTAAGGAAGCAAAGGCGACCAGAGTGATGATTACATTATCCAAGTGATGATTACATTGCCCACTGAGTTTGAGTACGGACTGGTCTATAAGGTGACAGGGTCCTTGACTTGACTTACTTCCAAAGGATTCCACAACCAACCAGCTCTACCACACACCAACCAGCTCTACCACACAACCAACCAGCTCTACCACGCAACCAACCAGCTCTACCACGCACCAACCAGCTCTACTACGCACCAACCAGCTCTACCACAACCAACCAGCTCTACCATACACCAACCAGCTCTACCACGCACCAACCAGCTCTACCACGCACCAACCAGCTCTACCACGCACCAACCAGCTCTACCACGCACCAACCAGCTCTACCACGCACCAACCAGCTCTACCACGCACCAACCAGCTCTACCACACACCAACCAGCTCTACCACACACCAACCAGCTCTACCACACACCAACCAGCTCTACCACACACCAACCAGCTCTACCACACACCAACCAGCTCTACCACACACCAACCAGCTCTACCACACACCAACCAGCTCTACCACACAACCAACCAGCTCTACCACACACCAACCAGCTCTACCACGCACCAGGTATTATATCCCTCACCTGTCTCTTTCTTTCTCTCCTTTCTGATCCCAGTCACCCTTAGATTCCTCTCTGTCAGGTAAGCTCAGGTGTCGAGTGTATGCATGTGGCAGCGTCTTGACATGACAACCAGTGACAAAACTACGTCTCTGTGGGCTCAGGACTATTCCGTCTCTTTCACTCTTAAGCCGCTCAATGGGGTGGTTTGCTGTTAACAGATTGAAATACATGTAAACTCTACAGGGCTTTTCACTGAGAACATATTACAGTATTGTCATAAATATAAATACAGCATATTACACTTTGATAGCAAATAAAAGCTTTCTTTTGACTTTTGCTAGGAAAGTGTGGGCATGTGGTGAGACATTAGATAATGCTTCAAGGAACGCTGGGGGCTAGTTGAAGAAGAAAAGGGGAAAATGAGGGGTGGGCAAAGAATTATCTGGAATGACAACATTAAGAAATGAACCGGACTAAATTATTTTACACTTGTTCAACACGCAGAAGACAGAGAAAGATGGGGTTTTTTTGTGCTAGTGCTTTCACCAATACATCTCCACGACCCTAGCAGCTCACAGACTATGTTATGTTGTATCACGACCCTAGCAGCTCACAGACTATGTTATGTTGTATCACGACCCTAGCAGCTCACAGATTATGTTATGTTGTATCACCACCCTAGCAGCTCACAGATTATGTTATGTTGTATCACCACCCTAGCAGCTCACAGATTATGTTATGTTGTATCACCACCCTAGCAGCTCACAGATTATGTTATGTTGTATCACCACCCTAGCAGCTCACAGACTATGTTATGTTGTATCACCACCCTAGCAGCTCACAGATTATGTTATGTTGTATCACCACCCTAGCAGCTCACAGATTATGTTATGTTGTATCACCACCCTAGCAGCTCACAGACTATGTTATGTTGTATCACCACCCTAGCAGCTCACAGATTATGTTATGTTGTATCACGACCCTAGTAGCTCAGATTATGTTATGTTGTATCACGACCCTAGCAGCTCACAGATTATGTTATGTTGTATCACCACCCTAGCAGCTCACAGATTATGTTATGTTGTATCACGACCCTAGCAGCTCACAGATTATGTTATGTTGTATCACGACCCTAGCAGCTCACAGATTATGTTATGTTGTATCACGACCCCAGCAGCTCACAGATTATGTTATGTTGTATCACCACCCTAGCAGCTCACAGACTATGTTATGTTGTATCATGACCCTAGCAGCTCACAGATTATGTTATGTTGTATCACCACCCTAGCAGCTCACAGACTATGTTATGTTGTATCACGACCCTAGTAGCTCACAGATTATGTTATGTTGTATCACCACCCTAGCAGCTCACAGACTTATGTTATGTTGTATCACGACCCTAGCAGCTCACAGATTATGTTATGTTGTATCAAGACCCTAGCAGCTCACAGATTATGTTATGTTGTATACATGAAAGTATTACAGTAAATATAAATCAGCACTGAGTTCGCTATGGACATAAAGTAATTATAAACTGTAATTAGATGTTTACTAGGTACATACAGAATAACAGTGAATATAAACTTTACTTCTTATATGAATATATTATTGTACATATAAACAAAGGACAACCAATGATGAACAAGTCTACAAAACCTTGGCATCAGTAAGCTGAGAGTGTATGATCCGCTGGGAGATGAAAGGCAGAAGGGAGCAGCAATAAACTGACAGTGTCAGCATTCGTCCATGAACCCAAATCTAACAGCACAGTTGTCAGCAAGATACTTTCCTGATGACTGAATTTAAATGTGCACTGGTCTATAAAACACCAAACCGAGAACTGTCTCATCAAAAGATACCTCACTGGATACCTCAGTGGGAATTCTTAAGTCTATATGCCCACTGGATACCTCAGTGGGAATTCTCAAGTCTATATGCCCACTGGATACCTCAGTGGGAATTCTCAAGTTTATATGCCCACTGGATACCTCAGTGGGAATTCAAGTCTATATATCCACTGGACACCTCACTGGGAATTCAAGTCTATATGCCCACTGGACACCTCACTGGGAATTCAAGTCTATATGCTCACTGGATACCTCACTGGAAATTCAAGTCTATATACCCACTGGACACCTCACTGGGAATTCAAGTCTATATGCCCACTGGACACCTCACTGGGAATTCAAGTCTATATGCCCACTGGACACCTCACTGGGAATTCAAGTCTATATGCCCACTGGACACCTCACTGGGAATTGAAGTTTATATACCCACTAGATAACCAAAAACAAAACAAAAAACTCCCCAGTAAACTAAAGTCTATGCACACTAGTCAAAAGGGACATTCACAAGCAAATAAAATTATTACGTACACTGGTCAAAAGATGCCTCCCAGGAACTAAAATCCTGATGTAATTCTTACGTACACTGGTCAAAAGATACTTTCCAGGGAGGTAAAGTCTACATACACACTGGTTAAAAAGCTTATAAGGGAACTAAAGTCTATGTGCACACTGGTTAAGAGGCCTCCAAGGGAACTAAAGTCTACATACAAACTGGTTAAGAGGCCTCCAAAGGAACTGAAGTCTATGTGCACACTGGTTAAAAGGCCTCCAAGGGAACTAAAGTCTACATACATACTGGTTAAAAGGCCTCCAAGGGAACTAAAGTCTATGTGCACACTGATTAAAAGACACCTCCCCTTGTAAGTGAAGTCTATATGCATACTGGTTAAAGGGCATCTTTTACTGGACCAAAGTCTAAACAGCCAAGCCAGTTAATTGTTGTAGTGCCATGTTCTGTAAAGATGCAACTCTATCACTAAACAGACACATCCCCCCCCCCTCCCCTTTTCCGAAGTAATAATGTAACTCACGAGAGAATCGCTTCTTGTAGTCTCGGTCAGTCACTTTTCTGCCATCTTTACCATTTGTGAAAGTCAACGATGAGCTTTCAGGAGCTGACTCAAAATTTGCCGTGTACCAGCGCTCCGGGTCCCATTTCCCATTCTCGCTTGAAACAAACAAAGCAGAACAGAATCAGTAACAGCTGCAAGAAACAAGCTGCAACAGCTGCACAAAAAGACAAGGTTGATTCGTATGTAGTTTCAACGGTCTGTTCAAACACAGCTCAACATTACTCATACAACATAACTATGATAAATATCTTATACAAGAGATAACTTTCACTGAGAGGGGTCCCTGTGTGGGTAACAAGGACTGCCCTCTATCAAGAACCTCATCAAAGTCACCTTATTAGGTGTGTATCCTTCAAAGTCAAGAGTGGATATGCCTAAGAGATGAGAAACCAACAGTCAATATACAAAAAAGCCAGATCTGTAAAACAGGTCAGCATGCAAACCCTGGGTTAAGGCACAAGACTAAAGATCAGAAGTGAGCAAGCAATCAGGAGTCCGAGTGAACAGCCAGTGAATGTGAAGTCCGAGTGAACAGCCAGTGAATGTGAAGTCCGAGTGAACAGCCAGTGAATGTGAAGTCCGAGTGAACAGCCAGTGAATGTGAAGAGGAAGAAACTGTGAAAGACAGCACAGAGGAGGCATGCAAAACTCTGTTTAGTCCAGTAAACAAGGACCCTTTTCCCCGCCCCTAAATGAACTGGGGATCTAGGGCTAGACCTATATTTTGTATAGACCAATCGGCACTTGGTGGGTCATGTGGTCAGCATCATGTCAGCCGCCTTTACTTTCCAGGGCTGCACCTGGTATCTACTCTAAGCTGGGTCAACGTAGGAGACAAGGTCATTTTTGACAAAAGTACTGCTCCATCAGCTAAACTCATTTTACTTTGGTTTTTTTTAAATAATAAAGCAGGCTGAGAGAGAGATGTTGCTGAGTGAGCAACACGTGGTCTTTATTTATTGACAATATTTTCCAGTCTTTGTGGCGTCAAGGAGAACACTGGCCACCAACAGGAGCTGTGACTCTTGTGCTTCCCTACAGCACAGTACAACACTGTCGTCTGGACACAAGGACAGGTGCCAACAAACAAATCAGCACTATCACGGACCACAACACAGAACATGCTGAACTGTCACACAATAGAATGTGAACAAATTAGGAAGAGCTTGCAAACAACAAAGATATGATTTTTCAGAAGATGATGATGATAATGATGTGATTAACTTCCAGCTGAGAAACTAACAAGAACTGTCTGGCACTCACAACACAATGTGTAGCTCTGGTGTTCGCTATGAAGCTGAAACTAAGACTACCAATAGCTCTGCAGAAGGGTAGACCTAACAAACAGACGTTTCAACCAAAGTCTTTCAGCAACAACAAATATTTTTGGCAACAGAAGTGAAATGTAAAAATCCCAGGTTAGTGTTTAACATCTGTCGGCTGTTGTAGCTGCCATGGCCACATTTTAAAATCAGAATATCTACCCACAAAAATATTTATAGCATGTGTGAATTTTAGTACACTCATATTAGGATTATACCACGAGGCAGACCAAGAAGACGGAGAGGTAATATCCAGTCAGACCTGCAAACACTCAGTGTCACCAAGTGAAAAGAGAAACCAACCAGAGAGATGAATGGAGGTGGGTGATATCAGCAGCAATGAACCTCAAGAGCTCGGAATGTTAAAGAAGGAGAAGACATCTGGATTATGTACTTTGTTCTACAGATTCTCTTCAAAGGAGGTCAAATATGCAAATATCAGATACACTGAAAAATACTACTAGATATTAGGCTAATAGAAGGGCTCGTTCCAGCGATCTCTTCCTGCCCTGATGCTATGAGGCACTCCAGAAGGAAGGAAAAAAAAAAAAGAAGATGGTATCTGTAGGCAGGATTTCCCCCATACTGAGGTAACGCTGCCTGACTCAGAAATGTTTTGTGTTCAGACTTCATCTACATCTGAGAAACAAACCAATGTCTTGCCGACCCATCATGTGGAAGACTGGTATTCTACCACCTGGACCACCCTGTCCTCCAGTCACAAGAACATAACATTAGCCAAACAAACAAATACCTACCAGTCATAAAGATGCTCTAGACAACTGGGACGTTTCAAAGACTCGGGCAGTTTGGATAAACTGATCAGATCTTCCTGTTTGATCAAACAAGTCAGAGTACTATTGTATCTGTTCCTGATATTTATACAACTGTAGGTTGTCAAGAAAACAATCTGTTTCCTGTGATATCTGTTCCTGATATTTACACGTTGTCAAGAAAAACAATCTGTTTGGTGTGATATCTGTTCCTGAAATTTACACGTTGCCAAGAAAAAAATATGTTTGTTGTGATATCTGTTCCTGATATTTACACGTTGTCAAGAAAAACAATCTGTTTGGTGTGATATCTGTTCCTGATATTTACACGTTGTCAAGAAAAACAATCTGTTTGGTGTGATATCTGTTCCTGAAATTTACACGTTGCCAAGAAAAAAAAATGTTTGTTGTGATATCTGTTCCTGATATTTACACGTTGTCAAGAAAAACAATCTGTTTGGTGTGATATCTCTTCCTGATATTTACATGTCAAGAAAGCAATTTTATCTGGAAGTTGATATAAAATGCTTTTGCGGTAGACTGGTCACAGACATAATGTTATGAATGCCTTGAAATGTTATATCTGTCAGTTCTTCTTTTTCACTGAGTGCTCGTTACTGTTCAGAGTAGGGCTGCAATATTTGTCAAATTTATTTCCAGCATTTATTATAATCTGGGCAGGTGTTTTTTGTTATAGTGGTACGCAGTACTGGCACCTTTGTCAAGCATCATGTTGTTCAGTACTACTGTAACCTACACTTTGTGTGAGTACCTGCACCTTTTCTAGAAAAAAGGTCGTGAATCTGGGTTAGTAAGTACAACAGTACAGTAGCAAGCATGCTGGCCACAAGTTTGAATCTGTAGTGACAATCATGCTGGCTACAAGTTCGAATCCGCAGTGAGAAACACTGCTTACATTAACCAGGGCATCCAGCTTGACCCAAGCATGACCTAAGAAATGTTCTGCAGCGTAAAGCAGCTGACAAAATCATCCATTGGATGCAGATTCATCTTTAAAAATATGGCACAAGCATAATATGTCCAGCAATGAGTTAAAAACAGACAACATAGCACTCAAGAGATTCCCATAAGAGCTCCATCCCCATTTTCAGTTCCAATTGCGATGGTACCAGTAATTCTGATTGTATGTACATCCCTCCCCTCCCCTCAAGCATTGACCAGATTCCCCGATCGTTCTTTGCAGCACTATTCCCTTCAGACCCTCATGAACTACTTGTGTCTCTGCACTTTTTACTCGCTTCCTAAGAGTCCACATATCATCAAGCTTGTCATGTAAAAATTTACTATGAAGTCGTATGGAACCAGCCAGTCAGTCTGCCTGTATTCTATTTCTTACCACATTGGCCTGGAGTTTATATCCAAAGGATGCTAACACCTATATAGCAATCCTTGCCATTCTGCACCCAGCAAAACTATCTCCCAATGGTCTTAAAGTGTGAAAAAGGTACCTGTCTTTGTCTTTCTAAGCTTTGAGTAGATAAAACATTCAATAGCCCCAGAATTGTGATGTCCTCTTTCACTGTTCTGTCTAAAGTTAGTATATCCTAAGCGACTTGTGAATGCTGTGTGGCTCTCAAGGGAAGTCAGAGCCAGCCTTACTATCCCATGAGGCTTTCACCACAAATATAGATAACACTAGCACATGATGCTATGGTACTGGGATCACTTAACTCTTTGAGTCCCAGGGGGTTTAGCCTCACAGGCCCAGGGGGTAGTAAAAAGTCATAAAATCAGTGCATCTTGCGTTCATTGGGCTTCTAGGTAGGAACCTATGAATGTATGATGCGTTTCTTGGGACTCAAAGAGTTAAGGAACTGTCAGCTACCTAATTTTACTTCCATATTTTAATGAAGCTCTCATTAACCGATCAAAGAACTTCTTCTTGTATACAAGAAGCAAAAGCAACACTTATGATTCAAGTAGACAGAAAACAAATAAAGCACCAATTAAACAAGACACTTAAGAATTAGAGGCACGTCTGCAACACCTAAGCCACAGATGTCGACATAAGAAAAAACAAATCCTGAAACATTGACACAGCATGCACATACAGACAGCATACACCCTTCATCAATGACACAGCATGCACAGATACAGACAGCATACACCCTTCATCAATGACACAGCATGCACAGATACAGACAGCATACACCCTTCATCAATGACACAGAGTGCACAGATACAGACAGCATACACCCTTCATCACTGACACAGCATGCACAGATACAGACAGCATAAACCCTTCATCAATGACACAGCATGCACAGATACAGACAGCATACACCCTTCATCAATGACACAGAGTGCACAGATACAGACAGCATACACCCTCCATCAATGTAATGACACAGAGTGCACAGATACAGACAGCATACACCCTTCATCATTGACACAGCATGCACAGATACAGACAGCATACACACTTCATCATTGACACAGAGTGCACAGATACAGACAGCATACACCCTTCATCATTGACACAGAGTGCACAGATACAGACAGCATACACCCTTCATCATTTACACAGAGTGCACAGATACAGACAGCATACACCCTTCATCATTGACACAGCATGCACAGATACAGACAGCATACACCCTTCATCAATGACAGAGAGTGCACATACAGACAGCATACACCCTTCATCAATGACACAGCATGCACAGATACAGACAGCATACACCCTTCATCAATGACACAGAGTGCACAGATACAGACAGCATACACCCTCCATCAATGTAATGACACAGAGTGCACAGATACAGACAGCATACACCCTTCATCATTGACACAGCATGCACAGATACAGACAGCATACACACTTCATCATTGACACAGAGTGCACAGATACAGACAGCATACACCCTTCATCATTGACACAGAGTGCACAGATACAGACAGCATACACCCTTCATCATTTACACAGAGTGCACAGATACAGACAGCATACACCCTTCATCATTGACACAGCATGCACAGATACAGACAGCATACACCCTTCATCAATGACAGAGAGTGCACATACAGACAGCATACACCCTTCATCAATGACACAGAGTGCACATACAGACAGCATACACCCTTCATCATTGACACAGAGTGCACAGATACAGACAGCATACACCCTTCATCATTGACACAGAGTGCACAGATACAGACAGCATACACCCTCCATCATTGACACAGAGTGCACAGATACAGACAGCATACACCCTTCATCATTGACACAGAGTGCACAGATACAGACAGCATACACCCTTCATCAATGACACAGAGTGCACAGATACAGACAGCATACACCCTTCATCATTGACACAGAGTGCACAGATACAGACAGCATACACCCTTCATCAATGACACAGAGTGCACAGATACAGACAGCATACATCCTTCATCATTGACACAGCATGCACAGATACAGACAGCATACACCCTTCATCAATGACACAGAGTGCACAGATACAGACAGCATACATCCTTCATCATTGACACAGCATGCACAGATACAGACAGCATACACCCTTCATCATTGACACAGAGTGCACAGATACAGACAGCATACACCCTTCATCATTGACACAGAGTGCACAGATACAGACAGCATACACCCTTCATCAATGACACAGAGTGCACAGATACAGACAGCATACACCCTTCATCAATGACACAGAGTGCACAGATACAGACAGCATACACCCTTCATCAATGACACATTAAGCATACTCCAGGACAGTACATACCCTTGAATACTGATGTCTCTGTAAATTATCTGAGTTTGCATTCTTGGTCAACTGTTGCTCTTGAAAAGTGTTTGCATTTTTGGTCAACTGTTGCTCTAGAAAATTGTCTGAGCTTGCATTCTTGGTCAACTGTTGCTCTAGAAAATTGTCTGAGCTTGCATTCTTGGTCAACTGTTGCTCTTGTGAATCATCTGAGCTTGCATCCTTGGTCAACTGTTGCTCTTGTGAATCATCTGAGCTTGCATCCTTGGTCAACTGTTGCTCTAGAAAATTGTCTGAGCTTGCATCCTTGGTCAACTGTTGCTCTAGAAAATTGTCTGAGCTTGCATCCTTGGTCAACTGTTGCTCTAGAAAATCGTCTGAGCTTGCATCCTTGGTCAACTGTTGCTCTGTATTCACTGCAATTGTTTCTGACATCTCCAGAGTAGATGTCCACTTAATGAACCTGGGAAGGCAAACCATGTTACCAATTAGGACAGTTATTCTGAAGATGAAAGGAGGCATCATTGAGATGTTATACATAACTGTATTGCTAATCCTACACTTACTGCAGCTCCCACCTGTTGTCCGCACTGCTCAAGAACTGTCCTGGCTCATATTGGACTAATCAGCAACCTTCGCACACATAATCATTGTTCATTACTACTTTGAATCAAAAGTTATCTTTATCACTCATGATGGATGAACAACAACACAGTATGGTAGTAGTGGTAGTAAACACCTATACTGTATTCAAACCATCATTTCTATTTCTTCTTAAAGTCTGGCAGAAAGTTCTAAAACTTCAGGACTTTAATCTTGTTTCAAGGTTTTGCATGCACATCCATTTTACAATTGTGCTCATTTGTATGCAGACTGTTGGTTCCTCACCCCTCAGGCAAATGCACTTCAGCCAAAACACCCCTTATTAGTCTATCTTTACAATATGCCTGCTAGGGAGACAGAGGGTATATTTATAATCATAGCTTATGTATTAACTGTAACAGACTGTAGGTCGTTTCCTTAATCTCTAGACTCTTATTTCAAAACAAATCTCCTCCACTTATGATTTCCTCCACATTTTATTAGTTATGCTGCATTTGCTTCCATATATATAACAGGTAAAAATTAAAATTCCACTAAGGGAATGTCTCTGCACTTGTGAAATTTCTGGGTTTTTTCCAGAAAGTTTGTGACCGTTAATTCTTCTACTAACTAAACAAAACAACAATCTTCAACTCCTTGCCTTGGCTGTGGCAATCTGTGGAATCTATGTAGTATTTCATTATATTAATAACTGTGCAGTGAACAAGTCCAAT